AGGAGGATGGATAATTTGAGGTCAGGAGTTTGAGACCAGCCTGGCCAACATGGTGAAATTGTGCTGCTACTAAAAATACAAAATTTAGCTGAGCATGGTGGTGTGCACCTGTAGTCCCAGCTACTGGGGAGGCTGAGGCAGGAGAATTGCTTAAACCCGGGAGGTGGAGGTTGCTATGAGCTGAGATCATGCCACTGTACTCCAGCCTGGGGAACAGAGTGAGACTTTGTCTTAAAAAAAAAAAAAAAAAAAAAAAAAAAAAAAAAAGACACAAAGATAAAGACATAAAGATCTCCACTCATATTGCTGCAAAGAACATGATTTCATTCTTTTTCCTAGCTGCATAGTATTCCCTGGTGTATAAGTACCACATTTTCTTTATCCAATCCAGCATTGATGGGTACTTAGGTTTATTCCATGTCTTTGCTATTGTGAATAGTGCTGTGATGAACATATGATTGCACATGTCTTTTCGATGGAATGGCTAACTTTCTTTTGGATATATATACAGTAATGGGATTGTTGGGTTGAATGGTAGTCCTATTTTAAGCTTTTTGAGAACTCTCCAAACTGCTTTCCACCATGACTGAACTAATTTACAGCCCCATTCACAGTGAATAAGCATTCCCTTTTCTCTGCAGCCTCACTAGCATCTGTTGTTTTTTGACTTTTTAATAACAGCCATTCTGACTGGTGTGAGATGGTATCTCACCGTAGTTTTGATTTGCATTTCTCTGGTGATTAGTGATGTTGGCCATTTTTCATATGTGTGTTGGCCACTTGTACAGCTCCTTTTGAGAAATGTCTGCCCATGTCTTTTGCCCAATTTTAATAAGGTTACTGTTTCTTCCTTGTTGCATTGTTTCCCTAATTCTGTGGAAAAAACCTGACCTTAGCAGTTTCATAGAAATAGTGGTAAATCTGTAGTTTGCTTTGGGCAGTGTGGCCATTTAACATACCGATTCTTCCAATTCATGAGCATAGGATGTTTTCCCATTTGTTCATGTCATCTATGATTTAAAAGAAAAGCTCTTACATAGCTTTTAAAAGGGTTTCCCATGGAATCTAAATGTCATAGCAATTTCACATCCAACATCATTCAATTTAAACATATATGAACAAGCTCATCTTTAACAGGCAAAAAATTACTCCATTTACTCCTTAAACTTGTATTTCCATTCCACTTTCCATACATAATGTTATGTTAATACGATATACTCAATGCCTGAAATTCTTCTACTGATCACCCATAATTTTCTATGACAAAAACACACATATAAATTGAAATTAATTTTTAATATTTTCTGTGACCATATCACTCTAAGTATCAAAGAAATCTCCCTGGGCTGAATTATCATTAAAGATACTGTTAACATGCAATTTATCAAAATAACAAAAACATTTTGAGCCGGGCGCAGTGGCTCAAGCCTGTAATCCCAGCACTTTGGGAGGCCGAGGTGGGTGGATCACGAGGTCAAGAGATCGAGACCATCTTGGTCAACAAGGTGAAACCCCGTCTCTACTAAAAATACAAAAAATTAGCTGGGGCATGGTGGCGCGTGCCTGTAATCCCAGCTACTCAGGAGGCTGAGGCAAGAGAATTGCCTGAGCCCAGGAGGCGGAGGTTGCGATGAACCGAGATCGCGCCATTGCACTCCAGCCTGTGTAACAAGAGCGAAACTCCATCTCAAAAAAAAAAAAAAAAAGGGGCCGGGCGCGGTGGCTCAAGCCTGTAATCCCAGCACTTTGGGAGGCCGAGGCGGGTGGATCATGAGGTCAAGAGATCGAGACCATCCTGGTCAACATGGTGAAACCCCGTCTCTACTAAAAAAATACAAAAAATTAGCTGGGCATGGTGGCGCGTGCCTATAATCCCAGCTACTCAGGAGGCTGAGGCAGGAGAATTGCCTGAGCCCAGGAGGCGGAGGTTGCGGTGAGCCGAGATCGCGCCATTGCACTCCAGCCTGGGTGACAAGAGCAAAACTCCATCTCAAAAAAAAAAAAAAAAAAAACATTTTAAAGAAATTATTAAACATAAAAATTAGGATTTTATTGGGAAAGCTATTCTTCACTCCACTTCTTCCTAAAATAGGCAGGGTCCTCATCAACATTTTTCTAATTTTACAATTATTGTTGCTATTGCTATTGTAAGCATTGTAAAACTTTCTTCAGGTAAACAAGTACATAAGCTGGGTGTGATTGTTCATGCCTGTAATCCCACCACTTTGGGAGGAGGACTGCTTGAGCCTGGGAGTTAGAGACCACCTTGGGCAACATAGTGAGACCTCATCTCTACAACAAATAAAAACATTTACTTTCTGGGCATGGTGACTCACACCTGTAGTGCCAGTTGCTAGGGAGGCTGAGTTAGGAGGATCCCTTGAGCCTAGGAGTTTGAGGCTGCAGTGAGCCATGATTGTTTCAGTGCATTCCAGCCTGGGCAACAGAGCAAGACCCTGCCTCAAAAAAAAAAAAAAAAAAAAAAAAAGGTCCGGCCACAGTGGCTCGAGCCTGTAATCCCAGCACTTTGGGAGGCCAAGGTGGGTGGATCACCTGAAGTCAGGAGTTGGAGATCAGCCTAGCTAACACGATGAAACCCCATCTCTACTAAAAATACAAAAAAACTAGCCAGGTGTGGTGGTGCATGCCTGTAATCCCAGCTAGTTGGAAGTCTGAGGCAAGAGAATAGCTTGACCTGGGAGGTGGAGGCTGAGATCAGGCCATTGCACTCCAGCCTCAGCAACAAGAGCAAAACTCCATCTCAAAAAAAAAAGAAAAGAAAGAAAGAGAAGAAGAAGAAGACAAGAATGGAAGCAGTTTGATCCTAGCAATATCAATTACTCATGCTCCTTCTGATACAGTGATCTATCACCAAAAATATTTAATGATCTAATTTTCTGACAACTCAATTAGATCTTCTCTCAATTTTCATGAAAGCAAAGAATTAGAAATCATCTGATCTGCAGAAAGATTTATTACTTAGTCAATAGAATCATTCATTTTCTAAAAAGAAGCCACCAATCCAGCAATTTGTCTGGCATCCCAGGTATCTGCCCCCCTGGGGCAATGCACCCTAGTAAGATGGGAGAGAGTGAAGGATGTCTGAAGCGGCTGTTATGAAAGAGGAGACAGAATGAAGACGCTCCATTCAGCAGCAATGGCTCACGGTCATTCAGTTCTCACCATAGCAATTACAGGAAAGAATGCATGGAAATCATAGACCTAGAATTTAAAAAGAACAAAAACCATGTACCTGTGTAGCCTCAGAAAGTCCTCATGTACCCCTGAAGATGGGGGTACCCAAATTTGAAGCCTGTGGCTGTGTCCCCATTAAACTGGGAGATGAATCTCCACGGAGCTGGGAACTGGCAGCTGGAGCTTCCTTGACATCTCCAGGTGGCTTTCTCCAGGCAGCTCTGTGGATCACAGGGCCCTTTGAAATGTTAGAGATCCCCAGGAAAAAAGAGATTCTCAGGACAAAAAAGTTTGGGGAAAGCTTCCTATTCCTTCTGCCTCTTACAGATTCACAATACAATCTGCATACTAATGACTAAAGAAACCTGATTAATTTTGTGTAATGCAAAATTTCCCAAACTAACCTGGCTCTCCCCTCTCACCTTCTTCTTTCACAAAAAATGCCTGAGTACAACTAAAGGGACTTCAGTCATCTGCTCCGGAGCCTGGTGCAGTCCTGAGAGCTCCAAGATGGATTTCCATCTGTGCCCTCCCTATAAGACCTGGGCGATTCATGGCAGCCACAGGCCTTCTAAAGCTCTCCAGAGGGACTAGGACCTGAGATCGGTTTCTTTCCTTGTGTGAACCAAAAAGTATCTGAGACGGGTCTCCATCAGTTTCGAAGTTTATTTTGCCAAGGTTAGGGACGCGCCCAGAAGAAATAAACATGAAACCCCAGAAACAGTCTGTAGTCTGCGCCTTTCTCCAAAGATGATTTTGAGAGCTTCAAAGGGGAAAAGTAGGCTGGCGGGGAAAGAGGAAGGGTGTGGTCACATGACTGAATGCACAGGTTGCAAGAGAAAAGGAGCAAGCAAGGGAACAGCCAATTACGTATTCACCCCGCGCACTGTAAGGTGAACATACGGTAACTATCTGCAGGGATATTGAATATTTTATCTGTAGCTGTCTTAGGAACAAAAGGTACCTTCTTGCATGACTCCGCTTTCAGCTGAATTTTTTTTCTTGTGGCAGAGTGAATTGGGGTCCCACGTTTTTATTTTTCTTTTACACTTGCACTTTATGGATTCTGTTACCTACTCAGAAAATGCTACATTCTGTTCTAGCTTTCCTATTGATGTCATTCACTTTTAGATGGAGGCTCTCATACAAGGAAGGTTTCTGCGATATTGACTTTGGGCAGCACCCACAGCAGACAGGAACTTGAAAGTATTTCCTGCATGTCACATTCACAAGCGAATGGTCAACTCGGCACGTCACTAGCTGTCCCTGTGGGTCCCCTGGTCATCGACAGTATGGTGCCAGCTGAGAAGCATTAAAAACAGATGCAGAGGAAAGTAAAAAATCCAAACATTTAAGAGTGGGGAGTGTATGTGTAAGAGAGAGGGAGATTCTGTGTGAAAACAGATGCCTTTCATTATACCCAGAGGCATGTGATGTTACTTTTTGTTAATCATCTGGCTTAAATTTTCCATTTTTCATTGCAAAACACCAAGAGTTGGCTACATAGTCACGATGAAGATGAGCACACACATTTCAAGTGTCACAGTTGGAAAGAGAGGCCTCGTAAGGTGTGCATTGCATGGGAATGAGGATCAAGTCACCTGACTCGATACAGGCTTTGGGACATCTCAGGCATCTAATCTCTCTAATGCACCGAAGAGACACAATAATGAGCCCCTACTATCCCTATCCCTTCCCTTTTCATCAAGAAGACTGCAAATTAGAGATGAGTCAATATTCTATGCACAAGTCATAAATATTTGGTAGCATGTAGATCAGTTAGATTCTCCGTCCCTGACTGCAGCTCAAAACTCAAACAAATCAATCAGAACCTGCTGGGAGAAAAAAGACAGCCTGTAGAGCACCTTTTTTTTTTTTTTTTTTTTTTTTTTTTCTTGAAATACAAGAATCATGAAGCATATCTGCCTGTCTATTAACTTAATTCCCCTATTCAGAACCAGTGAATTGGATGGCACCAACAGCAAACAACGAGGATTCCGGGCTCTGCCTCCGCCAAAATGCATTTTACCCTTTGGAAACCTCAGTTCCAACCGGAGAAGCTGGAAAGGCAAATAATGGATTTCTGCAGGGCTCCACAAACCAAGGAGGGCAAAGCAGCAAATAGCTGGAAGAAATGAGATTAAGAGTGAAAACTAGCTTTTTATTTCAAAACAACTAGAGATTTCTTGGAGAATTGCATATTTTTTAAATGCCCTTTTATGGGAAAACAAAGGCAGCAGAAATAAAATGGCTTACTTACATTTAAAGGAGAGTTTGGCAGCTGAAATGTGACGGAAATAAACTCTTCGCTCTCCAGGTCCCAGAGAAAGCTGCCCCGGGATAGACAACACCATCGGCACCACAGACCACCCGTTCTGGAGGGAGGGTGCGTTAAGCTCTGATTAAAAATTTATCCAGGTGTGGAGAACAGCTGTAGCTGATTTCTTCAGCGTACCTCTGCCAATTTCCCAAGGAAAAAAAAACCAATCTTTTGCTCTCCATCTGCCCTTCCAAGAAGTAGCTGAGGACAGGGAGAAAGAGGGAATCTAAGTGTTGCTCAAGTGGGTGCATTCTGATCCAAACCCACCGTGTGGCATAAATCTGTCATTTTGATTCCGCTGGGGAGGCATCTGCAAACCTGAAAAGTGAGAAGTGAAATTAGCCCAGGTGTGAACCTGGGTGTGAGGCTGAGGGGCGGGGAAGGGGGACGCAACATTCTTTACTGTGGCCATGGGTGTGGAATTGGGGGCAGGGCTGGTCCCTTTGCAGCCTGTGTGTGTGTGTGTGTGTGTGTGTGTGTGTGTGTGTGTGTGTGTGTGCGCGCGCGCATCCACGCTGATGGAAGCCTCGTTTACACACAGCACAAGGAAGCTGGGCCTTCTTGGTAGTTGGTGAATCTGTCAGACTGCAGGGAATCAAACAACAGGAGACAGGTGTCAGCGTTTAAATGCCTAAATAAGCTGTATCTATCCAAGGGCTGAGGCCACCGGCCATGGCTGGGCCTAGGCTTAGAGAAAACTGGTAACAGCCATCACTGGATTATTTATTTATTCTTTAACACTGTCTTTTAATTTGTTTTTTATTGTAATACAGATGAGGTCTCACTGTCACCCAGGTTTGAACGCAGCGGTGATGTCACAACTCACTGCAGCCTCAACCTCCTGGGCTCAAGTGATCCTCCCACCCTAGCCTCCTGAGTAGCTGAGACTACAGGTGCACTCCACCACACCCAGCTATTTTTTAAATATATCTATTTTTTGTAGAGACCAGGTGTCACTATGTTGCCCAGGCTAATTTAACTCCTGGCCTCAAGCCATCCTCCCACCCTAGCCTCCCAAAATGTTGGGATTACAAGTGTGAGCTCTGTGTCTAGACATCATCCGCAGATTAGACAAAGCTCTAATCCTTTGGGATTGCTTTGAGTTATTATTCTCTGCCCCCAAAGAAGCCTCAAGTATTTCCAACCAACTTATTCTATTCTGTTTTATTTTGCTCACAGCCTGCACATTAGTGTGGAGGAAGAGGGATTACTTCTCACGCAGCAAGGACACTCCAGCGCTGTTTTAGCAGAAGCTAACACCCACTCCCCTAGGCCCTGCAGGGGTGGCAAGAAAAGCAACGAGGCATGGCAGAAGGCTTAGGCTTAGGTGGCAGGTGGGTCATTTGTGTGCAAATCCCAGCTCAGATTTTGGGCTTCAACTGTCAGCTTCAATTGTTTTGTTTCTAAAGTGGCCCTGACCTTAAGGTCACCATGCACACTGAAGATGATCACATCAAGTGCAGGGCACCCAGCAGGCATGTAGACAGCAGCTGTCAGTACTATTACTATTGGAATAATTACTCCTTTCAAAATCAGAGTAACACTGTCACCGGGTGGGACACTGGTGTATTAAGGACAGACTTCAGATATTACCAAGGCTGCTTCATGGAAGGTTGCTGGGGTGGAAGGGGAGGCAGACTGCTGGAGAGAGTGGGGCAGGAGGGCTGGGGGTGGTGTGCCTGGGACGGGTAAGAATCAGTGCCCCAGAGCCAGGGGCGAAGGGAAGGGGCATGAAGGATGGTGGGAGGATTATGATAAAGGCAACAGATTGGGGGGACAGTTCTGAACCAGAAACGGAGCAGACTTCTGGACTGAGCACATCATCCTGGACAGGACAATGCAGAAGTGGCCTGGAGCTCACAACCAGGCTGTGACACTAGGGACAAGCAGGGACTCCTCTCCTGGGCTCCTTCTGCAGAAGGGGCGCATGGAGCTGCTCATCTAAGCATGAGGATAGCAGAGCCCCTTTATGGGACTTCAGGAGGAGCCTAGAAGGTGCAAATTACTTGGGCAGTATAATCTCCAAACTTTGGCCAGGCACGGCAGCACACACCTGTGATCCCAGCGCTTTAAGAGGCTGAGAAACAGGGATTGCTTGAAGCCAGGAGTCGAGACCAGCCTGGGCAACGTAGGGAGACTCGGTCTCTACAAAAAATTTAAAATTTACCCAGGCAGGGTGGCATATGCCTGTAGTCCCAGCTACCCGGAATGCCCAGGCAGAAAGATTGCTTGAGCCCAGGAGTTTGAGGCTACAGTGAGCTATGCCTGCACCACTGCACTCCAGCTTGGGCAACATAACAAGAGCCTATCTCAAAACTTAGAAGCATCTCCAGGCTTTCTCGATTGTTTACATGATTTGAATAGGTACTTTGTTTGATGCTATTCCATGTTATTAATTATTATATGCGTTTAGTTATAACTTATTCATATGTATGGATGATATATGAAGTGCAGCTTAGGTTAGAGAGCAAACACAAAGAGATCTGCTGTACAACGCTGCGCCTAACACTCACTGTCTTGTGCCCTTAAAATTATGTTGAGGGTAGATATCATGTTAATGGTCCTTACAATTAAAAAACACACACACATCCTGGGCATGGTGGCTCACACCTATAATTGCAGCACTTTGGGAGGCCGAGGCAGGCGGATCACTTGAAGCCAGGAGTTCAAGACCAGCCTGGCCAACATGGTAAAACTCTGTCTCTACTAAAAATACAAACAATAGCTGAGTGTGGTGGCGCACGCCTATAATTCCAGCTATTTGGGAGGCTGAGGCAGGAAAATCACTTGAGCCTGAAAGGTGGAAGTTTCAGTGAGCTGAGATTGCACCACTGCACTCCAGCCTGAGCAAGAGTGAGACTCTGTCTGAAACACACACTCACACACACACAGAACTTCCAATTTTTTTTCTGCCTTCCAATAGATCTTATTACATATCCAGTTTTGGATACTTCTGGTCCCAAAAAGCAGGAGGTGGGGTCAGGAAAAAGGATTTTTCCTCTCCAACCTTATAGGAATAAGAAAAGTCATTTTGGCTGGGCACAGTGGCTCATGCCTGTAATTCCAGCACTTTGGGAGTCCAAGGCGGACGGATCACAAGGTCAAGAGTTCAAGACAGTCTAGCCAACATGGTGAAACCCCATCTCTTCTAAAAAATACAAAAATTAGGAGGGCATGGTGGCTTGTTCCTGTAATCCCAGCTACTTGGGAGGCTGAGGTAGGAAAACTGCTTGAACCAAGACCTGGGAGGCTGAGGTTGCAGTGAGCCAAGATCGCACTACTGCTCTCCAGCCTGGGCTACAGAGCGAGACTCCATCTCAAAAAAAAAAAGAGAAAAGTCACTTTTTCTTCCTCTAATGCAAACAACTAAAAAGACTGAAAGTAGAATAATCTTTTTGTTTTTGTTTGCGGCAGAGTCTCTCTACCGCCCAGGCTGGAGTGCAGTGGTGCAATCTCAGCTCACTGCAACCTCCGCCTCCCAGGTTCAAGTGATTCTCCTGCCCCAGCTTGCCAATACCTGGGATTACGGGTGCACACCACCACACCCGGCCAATGTTTGTACTTTTAGTAGATGTCTCTGACATGTTGGTCAGGCTGTTCTCAAACTCCTGACCTCAAATGATCCATCCGCCTCGGCCTCCCAAAGTGCTAGGATTACAAGCGTGAGCCACGGTGCCCGGCCACACAATCATTTCACTTAGGAGTTTTATAACTTGAAATAGTTCCTGAGAGAAGCAGCATTTTACTGGGGCGAACTATGGTAGACTCTTAGTCTCCTCTTCGGTGGTGGCCTCTGTGAGCTCTTTGGCATAGCGCAAGAATGCTCTTTTGGTTTTCCTTTTTGGAATGTCTCAGGACAGGTGACATAGGACACTGAGCTGGAAGTACAAACAGACAAGCACAGATACAGGGAACTGTCTTCTAAATTCGGGCATCATTCCTGTTCTGAAAGCAGCTTCTAAACGGAGCAAACAACTCCCTAAACTGCATCAGGAGTAACAGCATCCCCTTCCATCTTTCACCTTATTAGATGGACTTTTTTTTTTTTTTTTTTTAGACAGAGCCTCACTCTGTCACCCAGGCTGGAGTGCAGTGGTATGATCATGGCTCGCTGCCACTCCTCCTTCCTGGGCTCAAGCAATCCTCCCGCCTCCACCTCTCGAGTAGCTAGGAGGCTGCAGCCCCAACTACAAGCAGCCGCCCCCAGGCTTGGCTAATATTTTTGTAGAGAGGGGGTTTCACAGTGTTGCCTAGGTTGGTCTCGAACTCCTGAGCTCAAGCGAGCCTCCTGTGTCAGCTTCCCTAAGTGCTGGGATTACAGGCTTGAGCCACCGAGCCCGGCCACGACTTTTTTTTAACGAGGGATTTTAAAAGCTTAACAATGAGAATAGACCCAACAGGTCAGCCATTCCAACTCACCTTTGCTCTTTTCTTCTCTCCTTTTCCACAGCAGGAAGTATCCCCTTTCAGTGCCTGAATCTTTGATTTCACCTTCTCTAACAGGTACATTAAGCAGCGTAGATCACTCCAAGTCTCTGTGAGCACTATGGTACAGACTCTTCAAATGAAAAAAATCCATTGAATTGGTTCCAGAATGGGTTTCTCTTTTCTAATCCTCTATTTATATGATAATCACTTGAAATTCAAGTCATCTGTTACTAGAATTGCAAGAAACACAGGAATCGAATCTTTCCTTATGGAGTTCTTTTAACTAATGCCTTTAAACCAAGGTCCCAGCTCTCATGCTCACCTCAACTCTCTCTCTCTCTCTCCCCCACTCCCTCCCTCCGTCTCCCTCTTTCTCTACCTCTCCCGCTCTCTCTTTCATCTTCTTTAGCTTTTTTAGATTTTTTTCTAAATTTAGATATTTTTTTTTACTTTTTTTTTTTTTTTTTTTTTTGAGACGGAGTTTCGCTTGTTACCCAGGCTGGAGTGCAATGGCTGTAATCTCGGCTCACTGCAACCTCCACCTCCTGGGTTCAGGCAATTCTCCTGCCTCAGCCTCCTGAGTAGCTGGGATTACAGGCAAGCACCACCACGCCCAGCTAATTTTTTGTATTTTTAGTAGAGACGGGGTTTCACCATGTTGACCAGGATGGTCTTCATCTCTTGACCTCGTGATCCACCCGCCTGGGCCTCCCAAAGTGCTGGGATTACAGGCTTGAGCCACCGCACCCGGCCCTTTTTTAGATTTTTCTACAATACTTTCTCCTTACCCTTGTTAAAGCATTTGCTATCACTTCCATCCTCTACTGCTTAATATTTCTCATACCCACAAATATGTGTGCACATACATACACACTCAACACGAGTTCCCCGGGCCGCCTCCAAGTCTGGGTGCTGTTTTACTGAGCTATCTACGTTGGGCCTGTGTTTCCATTATTCCACATTACCATATTCCTGGAGGAGAATCCATTTTCTTGTCTATTTCTTATTTTGATCCACGTGTCACATTAAAATGGAGCAAAAGAACGGGTCTCAAACAGACAGTATGAGTGCCTGATTTAAGATGCTGGCCTAACAGAAATAGATTTCATGTTTTCCAAAGAGGATCTGGTTACAGCCCAGCCGCAGCCAGTCACTTGGCGCCATCTGCTGGACACAGACGAACAGTCGCAGGCAGGGGACGTGAAAACTGACACATTAGGCACTCACTGCAAACCTGGAACCCTAATGAACCCATGGTTTCCCAGTGAAATGATGCTTTATATCCCTTTATAACAAATCTCTTTATATCAATATGTCAGAAGCTAGGGCGTCTTTTTTTTACTATGTTTTTCCTATTTTCCTCTGCTGGTTCATAAAGTGCCTTTGCTTTATTTAGCCTAACAACCAATGAACAATTTTTGTTTTGTGTATCATGCATCCCCAGCTTCCTGCACGGGAACCGGCACATGTAGGAGCTCCAAAAGCAGTGGAGTTTTTTTTGTTTATTTAATTTCGGTTTTTAGACAAAATAGTAAGTGACTGATATCTGAGGTGGGAGAAGATGACACACATTTCTATTATCATGATAGGGGGTTTTTGTTGTTGTTGTTTTTGAGACAGAGTCTTGCTCTGTCACCCAGGCTGGAGTGCAGCGGCATGATCTCGGCTCACTGCAACCTCCACCTCCCAGGTTCAAGATTCTCCTGCCTCAGCCTCCTGAGTAGCTGGGCTCACAGGTGCCCGCCATCATACCTGGCTTATTTTTGTATTTTTAGGAAAGACGGGGTTTCACTATATTGGCCAAGCTGGTCTCGAACTCCTGACCTCAGGTTACCCACCCACCTCGGCCTCCCAAAATGCTGGGATTACAGGCATGAACCACTGCACCCAGCCTGATTAAGAGCTTTTCAATGCACATTTTGTTCTCACGTATATCCCCACAAGGGAAGGAGAGTAACATTTAGGAAACACCTGCAGTGTGTCAGGTACTAGACTGAGCTCCTCCACATGCTATCTCATATTTCACACAATCCTCCTAATATCACAGAACTTGCTCAGAACATCCATTCATTTATTCACCTTCTATTTGCTGAGCAGCCGTGGTTGGTCAGGCATTTGGCATGGCCATGGGGATAGACAGCAAATGAAAGACATAGGCCGCTCATGGAGCTAACATTCTAGAAATAATCATCAATAACAGTCAAGTAAACAAGAAACAAATAACATGTGATGTTACATGAAACGGACTCTGATGGAAAAGAGTAGAGTGAAGTTATGGAGGATAACTGTGGACAGATCCCCCGGCTAGGTTACCTAGGGAAGGTGACATTTAAGGTCACTGAGACTGAAGGAGGCCAACTGAAGGGCAAGGGTCCTGGGGAGGGTGTGGGAAGTAGAAAAGTTCCTCTTTCAAGTTTTCTTTCTTGTTAAAGAATAAATCGTAAGTGTGCTAATAGCTCATTGTTAAGCCCTATCCTACGTAGCTGTTAAACATGCCGTGCTTACAGGCACATAGTATATTCTATGTCCGTGTACTTTAACCAAGGTAACTGTGCTGGACATGCTCACAGGCATGTCCCAGCTCACCACTGCTTTTACCTGTTTAGAAAAGTTTTAAGTTGTTAGCCAATTGGGTTTTAGTTTAGATTGTGAGGTCTGGCTTCAGCCAATGGAGATCAGACATGGCAGTAAGGATGATCCAAATGCGTAAGGGATAAATATGTATGCTTTTCCTTTGTTCATTGTACTCTTGCGGCAAGATGGCTAGTGAGGGTGCTCTTCCTATAGCGCAGGAAGTAAAAAAGTAAAAACTGCTTTGCTAAGAAATCCTTTGTCTCGGCCGGGCGCGGTGGCTCAAGCCTGTAATCCCAGCACTTTGGGAGGCTGAGGCGGGTGGATCACAAGGTCGAGAGATCGAGACCAACCTGGTCGACATGGTGAAACCCTGTCTCTACTAAAAAAAATACAAAAAATTAGCTGGGCATGGTGGCACGTGCCTGTAGTCCCAGCTACTCAGGAGGCTGAGGCAGGAGAATTGCCTGAACCCAGGAGGCGGAGGTTGCGGTGAGCCGAGATCACGCCATTGCACTCCAGCCTGGGTAACAAGAGCGAAACTCCGTCTCAAAAAAAAAAAAAGAAAAGAAAAAGAAAAAAGAAATCCTTTGTCTCAGTGCTAATTTTTCTTTCTGGGAAGGGGCGTCTATTTCCAACAGAGTGGGGAGGCATCTCAGGCTTTGCTGGACAGATACACAATCAGAACTGCTCTTGTACAGTTGCATTTGATCTGCCTGTGAGTCTTCTAGTGGCAATATCAAGGAAGGCAGATAGACACATCAGTGTGAAACTCAAAAGGGTCTGGATATGGAGGTCTGGATTTGGAGTCATCAGCAGATGGATGGTCTTTAAAGTGATGGAAATGATCAGATCAACTGGAGAGAGACTCCATAGACAGAAAGTGGAGCCCAGAACCAAGCCCTGCAGAACTCCAGCAATCGGAGTGCCTGAAAAAGAATCTGACTGTGAGGGTCACAGAAGTGGGGAGGAGGAAACCCAAAAGAGATGAGCATGATGGAAGCCAAGCTGGTAGTGACAGGTCCAAATTCAGAGCCAGGTGTGTCTTGGTCCAGTGCTCACGTGCTGCTCACTGCACACGTCTGGTACCTTCTAAGGATTCAGTAGTGATGCATCGCATTGTACCATGTCCCAAAAATCTCTCTAGTGTAGATTACCTCAGCTGATCCTTATGACTTTAGAAAGCAAGCAAGGGGGCCAGGTGCAGTGGCTCACGCCTGTAATCCCAGCACTTTGGGAGGTCGAGGCAGGCGGATCACATCCTGGCCAACATGGTGAAACACTGTCTCTACTAAAAAATACAAAAATTAGCTGGGCATGGTGGCATGTGCCTGTAGTCCCAGCTACTCAGGAGGCTGAGGCAGGAGAATTGCTTGAATCCAGTAGGCAGAGATTGCAGTGAGCCAAGATTGCGCCACTGCACTCCAGCCTGGCGCCTGGCAACAGAACAAGACTCTGTCCAAAAAAAAAAGCAAGCAAGGGAAGTATCATTATTATCTGTTTGACAGATGGGGACACAAATGCTCAGAGAATGAAGCAACTGGCTGATAGTGGAGCCAGGATGGGAGCCCAGATCTTCAGATGGCTGGCTGAGTTTCCTTCACGTTCAGTTCAAACCCTTAAAGATCATTTTTATGGCCTTTTAAAAAATCATTGCCAAAAAGTCTGGTTTTAATAAAAGCATCTATTGAGTGAAACTGTATGCAAAAAAAGAAGTATTCGATTGTTGCAAATGACTGACAAACAGGTTATCTGTGACAAATGGAAGGAAAGTAAAAGAATAATCTTTCAAATGTCAGAGATCAGACTGAGAGGAGCAGGGATGAAAACAGACATGGGTTTCTCCCAAAACTCGTATATTTTACTTTCCTTAAGACCTGCCAGTCAGAGCTCCCAAAGTTTTCTATTAGTTCCTTGGCTTCTAATGAAGCATTTCAGTGACTTTAGGAAGATAAATGGTCAGCGCCTGGAAACAGGCAAGAGCTCTCAGCCCCAGGTAACTGAGGGGAAAAAGGCAAGGGAGTGACCAGCCTGGAACTTAGTCAAAGAGTCACTGACAGCGGAAAAGCCACATGTCAAAACCATCTTGTCATTATGGGGGGACTGCAGCCTCCAAAAACAGGAACACAGAGATGACCGTCATAACTGGGGGATGGATGCGGGGGTATAGGAAGTCCACTTAGAAAAAAATGATTGCAACCAGGTGTGGTGACTCATGCCTAGAGTTTCAGCACTTTACGAGGCCAAGGCAGGAGTATCACTTGAGCTCAGGGGTTCAAGACCAGCCTGCGCAGCATTGTGAGACCCCATCTCAAAAAAAAAAAAAAAAAAAAAAAAAAAAACTTGCCAGGCATGGTGGTGCATGCCTATAGTTCTAGCTTCTTGGGAGGCTGAGGTGGGAGGATCACTTGAGCCCAGGAGGTTGAGGCTGCAGTGAGCCATGATGGCTCCACTATACTTCAGCCTGGGTAGAAGAATGAATGAATAAACGAATGAATGAATGAAGGAATGAAAGAGGAAGGAAGGGAGAGAAGGAGGAAGGGAGGGAAGGAGGGGGAGAGAGAGAGAGAGAGAAAGAGAGAAAGAAGAGAGAAAGGCAGGAAGGAAAGAAGGGAGGGAGAGAGGGAAGGAAGAAGAAAGGAGAGAAAGAAAGAAAGAGAACAACCACTCCTAGTAAATGAGCATGGAAGGCCAGATGCAGCCTGCAAATGAGCCCTTCCGTTTCTGGTTAGGGCTCACACGTGGACAGTCTCCATCAGCCTTGCCTCTGCACTCCCTCTATTGCAGGCTCAACTGTGCTCCTCAAAGATTCATTCGCTAAAGTCGCAACCCCCAGTACTTTAGAATGTGATATAGTTTGGATGTTAGTCCCTCCACATCTCATGTGGAAATTTGATCCTCTCCTGTAATCCCAGCTACTCAGGAGGTTGAGGCACAAGAATCGCTTGAACCCGGGAGGCAGAGGTTGCAGTGAGTTGAGATTGCGCCGCTGTACTCCAGCCGGTGAGACAGAGATTCTTCTGTAGTCCCAGCACTTCGGGAGGCCGAGGTGGTTAGATCACTTGAGGTCAAGGGTTTGAGACCAGACCAGCCAACATGGCAAAACCCCATCTCTACTAAAAAATGCAAAATTAGCCAGGTGTGGTGGCTCATGCCTGTAGTACCGCCTACTTGGGAGGCTGAGTCACAAGAATCTCTTGAGCCCAGGAAGCAGAGGTTGCAGTGAGCTGATACGGTACCACTGCACTCCAGCCTGGGTGACAAGAGTCAGACTGTATCAAAAAGAGAGAAAGAAAGAAAAAAGAAGGAAGGAGAGAGAGAGAAAGAGAGAAAGAGAAAGGACGGAAGGAAGGAAGGAAGGAAGGAAAGAAGGAAATGTGATCCTCGTTTTTGGAGGGGGGCCTATTGGGAAGTGTTTGGGTCATGGGGCTGAGTCCCTCATGAATGGCTTGGTGTCATCCTCACAGCAATGATTGAGTATTATTAGTTCTCGCTCTATTAGTTCACATGAGAGCTAATTGCTTGAAAGAGTCTGGCACCTCTTCCCTCTCTCTCTTGCTTCCTCCCTCACCATGTGATTTGCACACCGTGGCTCCCAAGAAGCTTTCAGACTAATAAGAAATTGTTTTTGTTTTTTTTGTTTTGTTTTGTTTTGTTTTTTTCTGAGATGGTGTTTTGCTCTCATTGCCCAGGCTGGAGTGCAATGGCGCCATCTTGGCTCACTGCAACCTCCGCCTCCCAGGTTCAAGCGATTCTCCTGCCTCAGCATCCTGAGTAGCTGGGATTACAGACACCCACCACCATTTCCAGCTAATTTCTGTATTTTTAATAGAGATGGGGTTTCACTATGTTGGCCAGGCTGGTCTTGAACTCCTGACCTCAGGCGATCCATCCACCTTGGCCTCCCAAAGTGCTGAAATTACAGGTGTGAGCCACTGCACCTGGCCAGAAAAGTATTTTTTCAACCCCATAAATACATTGTTATAATGATACAGGAGGCAGAAAGAAATTATTCAGGCAGGCAGTGAGGGTAAAGGAGTCCTTGGTGGAATTTGCTTTTAATAAAAAGCAGCCGCAAAATAATTTTGTTTCTAACAAACAGCAGCCTGAAAAATCAAGCTGCAGACATAGAGAAGCAAGCTGGAAGCTCGCACAGGTGAATGCCAGCAGCTGTGGCAGTAGAAGAGGACCACCCGGAGGCCAGGTATGTTCGACTTGGAGGCTCTGTCTTCTTTTTTCTTTGTCACTTATATGTACAGTAAATAAACAGGTGCCGGGTGCGGTGGCTCACGCCTGTAATCCCAGCACTTTGGGAGGCTGAGGTGGGCGGATCACCTGAGATTAGGAGTTCAAGACCAGTGTGGCCAACATGGTGAAACCCTGTCTCTACTACAAATACAAAAATTAGCCTGGCATGACGGTGGGCACCAGCAATCCCAACTACTCCGCAGGCTGAAGCAGGAGAATCACTTGAACCCAGGAGGCAGAGGTTAAGGATTGCACCACTGCTCTCCAGCCTCGGAGACAGAACAAGACTCTGTTTCCAAAAAAAGAAAAAGATTAGGGTGAGTGCTACCAGAAATCTGAGCCCTATGCAAATGGCACACCTAGTACTAACCAGTTTTCCCACCTTATGCAAATGACACATCTGGTCCAACCGATCTTTCGTGCCCTGTGTAAATCAGACACTGCCTCCTTAAGCTCAGCCGTAAAACCCTGTGCATTTCGCTGTGGACTGGAAGACCCACTTGGAACCTCTCTCTGCAGAGAGAGCTTTTTTCTCTCTTGCTTATTAAACCTCCACTCTTTTTTTTTTTTTTTTTTTTTTTTTGAGACGGAGTTTCGCTCTTGTTACCCAGGCTGGAGTGCAATGGCACAATCTCGGCTCACCGCAATTTCCACCGCCTCCTGGGTTCAGGCAATTCTCCTGCCTCAGCCTCCTGAGTAGCTGGGATTACAGGCACGAGCCACCATGCCCAGCTAATTTTTTGTATTTTTAGTAGAGACAGGGTTTCACCAAGTTGACCAGGATGGTCTCGATCTCTTGACCTTGTGATCCACCCGCCTCAGCCTCCCAAAGTGCTGGGATTACAGGCTTGAGCCACCGCGCCCGGCTAAACCTCCACTCTTAACCTCACTCTTTTGTGTGTCTGCGTCCTTGATTTCCTCAGCGTGAGACAATGAACCCCAGGTATCACCCCAGACAAATGACACTGCTTCAATAAGTGCACGATAAAAAGCATGCTAAGGTTATAAACGCACAGATGGGCCGCCTAACCCAACCGGAAGAATGATGGGAAAAGGTTTCAGCTGAGCTGAATCTCAAGGGAAAGGCAGAGACCAGGAGAAGAGGATGAGGTGGGGGGCGTGGGGGTGGAGCAGGCAGCAGAAGGAAGACTCACCACGGTCATCTCCAAGATGACCGAACATGACTCTGGGAGGTGACAGGGTTGTGTCACCCAGAGCTCAGGAATCTGGTATTGAGGGAGGACACCCTTAATTACCCTTAAGCATCTATTCTAAGACCATCCCCGCCGTGACTTCCACACTGCATTTCAATAGCAGAAGTAAAGGCTGGCAGACCGGGCGCCACCTTAATCACCCTCCTATAGATCACAGGCATGGTGTGGAGGAATCTTTCCAGAAGGCATTGTTTTTACTTAAACAAGATCAAACCCCCACCTAAGCCATTATACCCCATGCCTACTCCATGCCCAACACCCTTTCACAGGTAAATTCTAGAGCTGTTAAGCCTTTAAAAGGGCAAGGACTTTCTCTGTGAGCTGGAGCTGGGCTGTTAGGCAACTATGCTGCCTTGCTCCTGGTCGAATAAATCACCCCTTCCTTCCTAGTTCGCTGTTCGAGAGGTCTGTTTCACCGCCTTTCCTGCTTCAGTATGAGATGTGGACTAAATCATCCGGGAATGGCACGGTCACATTGGAGTCTGGACAGCCCTTATCGGCAGCTGGAGAATGACCCTGCGAAGACAGAAGGTTTGAGCAAGAGGGTCAAGAGGAGAAGTGGCCGGCAAATTTTGTAGCTGGCTTCTGTCATCTCGCAAAAGCCAACTGTGATATCTTTAGGAATTTTGGAGGCTGCTAGATCTTTAATCACTTGAAATCCGCCTGGCTGGGAGTAGTTACATCACAGAAATTGGCCAGTGCTACAAATCTGGGCCGCCTCCCAGAGCTGCTGTTAACTATTTACCAGCACACCACTGGTGGAAGCAAAGGTGCTAACAGATCCCAGGAAATCTGAAGCAAAGGAGGCAGGTCTCGATGGCTAACTCAGTGTGGGCAGAAGAATCAAAGCTGCCTCCAAATTTCTAACTTACCAAATGGGCGAATGTTGATGGTTGGAATTAAAATGGATAATAGAGAGGATAAAGCAATTCAGCCAACAATAATAAAGTTAGGATTCTTGTCAGAGGCTTTGGAACCAGAGCGACTCCATCTTGGGTGAGGGCTAGGAAATATGAGGCTGGGACTTGCTGGGCTGCATTCCTGGCAAGTTAGGCATTCCTAGCCTCTAGATGTTTTCAGCCAAGGGAAGAGATTGACCACATTTACTAAACAGACTCAGACTTAGGAGTGTCCTGATACCCCAATATCTTGAGAATAGAAACATTCCTAATTTTACTTTAAAGATAGTAATCGATTCTTGCAAGACATTGAGGAAGGAGACCCCTTCCTCTTAAGCTTCTAAGACCACTTCCCCTTAGCCTTGCATTTCAAAAGGAGAAGTAAAAGTTGAAAATAGAAGGCCCAAGGTCAGTGGAGGAGACAGAACAGGTGCCACTACAGGACCTAGAGGTTAAAGATGAAACCCCCCTCCCCAGTTCCTATCCTGTCTATTAATCCCAGGCATGGTACGGTGGAATCTTCCCCAGAAGGCGTTGTTCTTGCTTAATCACGATTAGACCCCACCTAAGTCACGTACCCCTCGCTTACCTCATCGATCACGACCCTCTCACATGTACGCTCTAAGGTTGTGAGCCTTTAAAAGAGGCCAGGATTAGCCAGGTGCGTGGCTCAAGCCTGTAATCCCAGCACTTTGGGAGGCCGAGGTGGGTGGATCACAAGGTCAAGAGATCCAGACCATCCTGGTCAACATGGTGAAACCCCGTCTCTACTAAAAATACAAAAAATTAGCGGGCATGGTGGCGTGTGCCTGTAATCCCAGCTACTCAGGAGGCTGAGGCAGGAGAATTGCCTGAACCCAGGAGGCGGAGGTTGCGGTGAGCCGAGATCGCGCCATTGCACTCCAGCCTGGGTAACAAGAGCGAAACTCCGTCTCCGAAAAAAAAAGAGGCCAGGATTTTCTAGTCGGGGAGCTCGGTTCTTGAGATGCGAGTCTGCTGAGACTCCCGGTCAAATAAAAAGCCACTTCTTCCCAGTTTGGTGTTCGAAAGATTTGTTCACAGCCGCTCCTGCTTCAATATAGTAATTAAGAAAATTAATCCTTTATCACAAACCCTAGTAGCAGAGCACATCTCCCCATGATCATTTTTATCCCGTATGAATGAGTATTGTACCTAGGGTAGACGTGACCTTCTCTTACTTTCAGGAATGCACTATTCTGTCTATGGAGGAGCTGTTCATTCACCACTTTACTTTTTTTTTTTTTCCTTGAGATGGCATCTCACTCTGTCGCCAGGCTGGAGTGCAGTGGCACGATCTTAGCTCACTGCAACCTCTGCCTCCCGAGTTCCAGCGATTCTCCTGCCTCAGACTCCCAAGTAGCTGGGACTACAGGTGCCTGCCACCACGCCCAGTTAATTTTTGTATGTTTAGTAGAGATGGGGTTTCGCCTTGTTGGCCAGGATGGTCTTGATCTCTTGACCTCGTGATCCACTCGCCTCGGCCTCGCAAAGTGCTGGGGTGACAGGCGTGAGCCACCGTGCCCAGCCTACCATTTTACTTTCTTAATAAACTTGCTTTTGCTTTGCACTGCAGACTTGCCCTGAGTTCTTTCTTGCGTGAGATCCAAGAATCCTCTCTTGGGGTCTGGTTGGGGACTCCTTTCCAGTAACACTGTGAGATCTTGATTTTGAGATGCCTAAAAAATTGCCAGCCATCAGTGGATTACAGAGGTCTGAAGACTCAGGGAGGAGTCTCACGCAAAGTCATGAGAAGGAGTGAGATTGTGCAGCGACGGGAAGGCGAGCACAGGATGTGGGTGCAGGGGCCGGGCCTGGGTAGACACATCTGCAAAATGCTAGAGCACCCCATTAGCAAGCGAGAGTCCCCAACAGAAAAGCCACGCCCTCCGACCAAGCCTTTGTCAGTCACACACAAAAACGGTTTAAATCTCTCATCTGCCTTTCTCTGCTTTCATATGTGTTCAGAATCCACGTAGGAAAGAAGAGAACTATTTTCTGGGGGCCCCCAAAGATCCTGACAATACAACAAAAAGAAGAGTTGAAGTGTCAGTATCCTTCCTTCCAGAAAGCATTCTGGCCTCCAGGCAAAGTGCCACCGCCACCCCAGCAACCTGAGATCAAGGCACTGGGGCCTGCCCAGCAAGCCCAGGTCCCAGCCCCAGCCAAGGGAATATTAACTGAGCGTGCAGTTGTGTGCACCCCAGAAACCTTATGGCTCTGTCACTGAAAGGAACCATTCCAGTGGTTCTTCCCAAAGAAAGTGGACTTCAAGATGACTCAGTGTCCCCATGCCAGAAACAGAAACGGCTGGCAACTTTCACAGGTCAGCTTTGTCCGCTAAAAACGATTCCACACCCTGTCACATGCCCATTGAATTTAACAACGGGAGTTCCTCCGTGATTTTGGACACAGCAGATGGATTTTCAGTCCAAAGAATCGAGGAAACACTGAATTCTGTACCCACCCCCTACCCCGCACCGTTCTGGGGCTTTGTAATGCATACCAGCATACGGAAGGCCCTGGAAAGAAATCTCCAAAATTTTGTTCGACTCAAACTTTCTGATCCACAACCCTCCTTCCCTTCCAGGCAGAAAACTTTCAAATATTCCATAAAACATAGAAATTCAAGGGACCTTGTGGCCAGGTGCAGTGGCTCATGCCTATCATCCCAGCACTTTGGGAGGCCAAGGTGGGTGGATCACCTGAGGTCAGAAGCTTGAGACCAGCCTGGCCAACATAGTGAAACCCACCTCTACTAAATACACAAAAATTAGCTGGGCGTGGTGGGAGATGCCTGCCAGCTACTCGGGAGGCTGGAGCAGCAGAATCGCTTCAACCCAGGAGGTGGAGGTTGCAGTGAGCCAAGACTGTGCAACTACACTCTAACCTGCGTGACAGAGAGAGACTCCCTCTCAAAATAAAAAAATAAAAAGAAAGAAAGAAATTCAAGAGTCCTAGTATGTATTGAAGAAGTTTGGATGAAAAGAAAATTAATTAGAAAAAGTGGTCATAAAAGGAAAAAATGAACCAAGAGAAGCCTTGCTATTTAGTGACTATTTTTCAGATTGGTAGAAACTTTCCTATGTTTTTAGGCCAAGGGAAGCAGGAAAGATGGTGCATAGGAGAAACAGAATAATTCATGGAGCGAGTCCCTCAGGGGGTTTATAATCAAGTAGCTTTTACTTGGTAAATACTTCTTATATCAATAATAAATGAAAGGAAGTGAAACCCAAAATTTGTAAGTTTCAAATGAAAATAGATGAATAGTCATTCTTTTAAGATGTTTCCAAAGTTAGTATAACAATTCCAAGTCATCAATTAAATATTCTCATCAGAGGCCGGGCACAGTGGCTCACGCCTATAATCTCAGCACTTCGGGAGGCCGAGGCTGGTGGATCACGAGGTCAGGAGATGGAGACCATCCTGGTCAATATGGTAAAACCTCATCTCTACTGAAAAAAAAAAAAAAATTAGCTGGGCGTGGTGGCGTGCACCTGTAATCCTAGCTATTCAGGAGGCTGAGGCGGGGGGATTGCTAGAACCTGGGCAGCGGAGGATGACATGAGGCGAGATCCTGCCACTGCACCACAGCCTGGGTGACAGAGCAAGGCTCTGTCTGAAAAAAATATTCTCATCGATATTTAAGATTTAATGCATCCTTCAATCCAGTCAAGTTGACACTCAGTATTAACCATCACAGGAGGTGAAGACTTTTTGCGGGGTGATTAGCTCATGAGAAGAGAGCTTCATAAAATGAGATGAGTGCCTTCGTGAAAGGGACCCCAGAGAGCTGCAATGACCCCTTCCACCATGTGAGGACACAGCAAGAAGATGACGTCTATGAAGCAGGAGGCAGGCCCTCACCAGACACTGCCAGCGCCTTGATCTTGGACTTCCCAACCTCCAGAACTGTGAGAAATCAATTTCTATTATTTATAAGCCACTCTGTTTATGGTATTTTGTTATAGCAGCCAGGAAGGACTACAACACCATCTTAGCTAATATTGCTGCCATCTAGTCAGTTGCCCAAGGCAGAAATCTGCATCTTCAACAACTCCCTTCATCTCATTGGCTACATCTCATCATCCTAAAGTTCTCTCCACTCTGTCCGCATAAAAGTTTCCAAGTGTAACCCCTTTTAAACAACAGAGTCAAATACATGACCTTTTTTTTTTTTTTTTTTTGAGACGGAGTTTCACTCTTGTTGCCCAGGCTGGAGTGCAAAGGCGCGATCTCGGCTCACCGCAACCTCCCCCTCCTGGGCTCAGGCAATTCTCCTGCCTCAGCCTCCCGAGTAGCTGGGATTACAGGCACGCGCCACCATGCCCAGCTAATTTTTTGTATTTTTAGTAGAGACGGGGTTTCACCATGTTGACCAGGATGGTCTCCATCTCTCGATGTCGTGATCCATCCACCACGGCCTCCCAAAGTGCTGGGATTACAGGCTTGAGCCACCGCGCCTGGCCGACCTTTTTTTTTTTTTTTTTTTTGAGATGGTGTTTTGCTCTTGTTGCCCAGGCTGGAGTACAATGGCATGATCTCGGCTCACCACAACCTCCACCTCCTGGGTTCAAGTGATTCTCCTGCATCAGCCTCCCAAGTAGCTGGGATTACAGGGACGCACCATCACACCTGGCTAACTTTGTATTTTCAGCAGAGGCAGAGTTTCTCCATGTTGGACAGGCTGGTCTCTATCTCTTGACCTCCTGATCCACCTGCCTCAGCCTTCCAAAGTGCTGGGATTATAGGCGTGAGCCACCACTCCTGGCCCATGACCTTTTTTGTAGCCAAGATGGGAGTTCCCTGTGTGTCCAATTTCAAGCTTACTGAAAAAGCCCAACCCTTAAAAAAAAAAAATTCCTCTTTGCTGGCAGATCCCTGAAATTCCTTTAGCAAGTAGGGTTTTTATTACAAAATCAGAAATAATCCTGAATGCCAGAGACTCTGGAAAGATGCCACCCTAAACTGAAAGGACACCAAAGCATCAGTGTTGTGTCATACAGACTTGCAGTGAAAAGGGCTGATGGCGGGAGGAGAGGGAAGGGTGAAAAATTGGAGGGTGACAGATAAGAGCAAAGAAGAAAGAGTGCAAGGTGCAGATAACAGCAGGGAAGGTGGTGCAGGCGGGCACACTGTGAACACACAAAGAAAGTTCGCTTGAGCCAACCAAGCCAGAATCAACTAAAATATACTTTTGCACTGACAGTGAATTAAACAATTCACAAGTATGGGAACCAAGGTAGACAGGAAATCATTTTATAAAAAGATTCCCAGAGACTCTTCTCTTGTTTCTATAATAAACAGAATGGAGCCACTTCCCAGAATTATAATAAGACACAGTGAAAGGGAAAGTTCTAAATTTATGTGAGATCAGCTTTTGAAGTCTGAAATCCCTGCAGTGGGGAATACTGCCTAAGTGCTTCCAAGTTCACAAATAGATCTTTCTCTAGGAGCTTTCACAGCCAACTCTTCAAAATTTGGCCACCTTTGTCATAATGAGCTATGAATATCCAGTCATCTCTGCAAGAAGTCTGTTATGACTGGGACTTCTTTCTGCCTCCCTGGGGTCAGATCAAATTAACTTGGTGAGAATTGCTTTCTGTAAAGCCGGCTCACACTGGAGTAACTCCAGGGTGATCTAAGTCATCTTCTCCCCTAGTTCCCAACAGATTCAGAGAAAGGAATGGATGAGGTCAGGAATAACAGAGGGATGACCAGTTGCAAAATTTAAAGATATAGCAACTGGAAAAGTGAACCATGGGCCTTAGGAAAGAAAGAAGGAAAATTCTGCTGGCATCCAGCTGTGCAGATCTGATGAGACCAGCCCCCCAGAAATCTGTCACTGCTCCAGAAGACAATGCAATGTGCCTACAAATTTAATGACTGTCTCCTGGCCTTTGACAGGGGAGCAGGAACTCTGCCCACAAAGCAGAAAGGGGTTAATGAAGCCTGGTGAGAGAAATGTTGACTTTTTGTGGGTATAAAAGGCCCAGACAATTCAGCTAAGGCAGGTTTATTGTGGTCTACTGAAAAGTCATGTATGAACACTTTTTTTTTTTTTTTTTTTCCCAAAAAAAAGGGAGTTACTGACTTTTCAAACTGCAAAATCATTTATGGCAATTTAACCAGCCGTATTAGTCTGTTTTCATGCTGCTGATAAAGACATACCTGATACTGGGTGATTTATTAAAAAAAAATGTTTAATGGACTCACAGTTCACGTGGGTGGGAGGCCTCACAATCAAGGTGAAAGGCACATCTTACATGGTGGCAGGCAAGAGAGAATGAGAACCAAGTGAAAGGGGTTTCCCCTTATAAAACCATCAGATCTCATGAGACTTATTCACTACCATGAGAACAGGATGGAGGAAAACATCCCCATGATTCAATGATCTTCCACTGGGTCCCTCCCACAACACACAGGAATTATAAAAGCTACAATTCAAGATGGGATTTGAGTGGGAACACAGCCAAACCATATCACCAGCCAAGTATTAAGTCAGCCTCTGCAGAAGGAAGAGGCTTAAATTAAAATTAATTTGGCATCTACTAAATTTGGATACCAAATACAAGAAGTGAAAAACAAATTATAATTTTTTTCAAGCTAGAAGGAAGCCAAGAGGTTACCTGTCTTAGCCCCTGACTTCCCTCACTGATGAGGGGGCCAAGGCTCAGGGATGCTGCCCCTCCTGAGTGCTCTGTGTCCTCCCTCACTCCACCGTGCACTTTTTTGGAGAAGTGAGACATCTTAGTTTGGGGAAAAAAAGAATAAGTGAGATGGAAAAAAAGACAAATCACTTGTACTTTCCTACTACTGATCAATTATTTAATCCAAAGAAGTTAAAACTATGTCTAAAATTAGACAGCCAGGCCATTTTTCACTCCTCAGGCATGCAAAGAAGATGATAATATTTTTCAGACCATGACACAGAACTGTGGTGCATTACAGTGATTATTTTCCCAAATCACCAGCTCTGGCTAATGAATACTTAAACAGAAAATTTTGCTGCAGGAACTCGTAACAGTTTTATAGCAAAACAAGGAAGCAAAGACTTAACATTTCATCTGTGCTATGTTTTGATTTGGTACAAAAGGTGGCAGGGATGACACAGTTTCTAATGGGAAAGGCATAGGAAGTAATTACTAAGCAGTGTTATTCCTATGGTATTTTTATCTATTATTTACAGAGGACCAACCATAACCTAAGGGGTAAATACCTGGCTCTTTCCCAGTGAGTTTACTCTTTCAAGATTTTAAAACATGGGGCAGGTCGGGCACAGAGACTTACGCCTGTAATTCCAGCACTTTGGGAGGCCAAGGTAGAAGAATCACTTGAGGCCAGGAGTTCAAGACCAGCCCGGGCAAGATGGTGAAATCCTGTCTCTACAAAAAATACAAAAATTAGCCAGGCATGGTGGTGCGTGGCTATAGTCCCAGCTACTCTGGAGGCTGAGGTAGGAGAATTGCTTGTGCCCAGGACTTCAAGGCTGCAGTGAGCCACGACTATGCCACTGCACTCTAGCCTGGGTGAAAGAGCAAGACGCTGTCTCAGAAAGGAAACAAACAAAAACCATGGGACAAAGGAAAGGAATGAGGAGCAGAACACAACACACACACCCTGAACTGGCTTGTCTCAAACCAGAGCCATTGTCCCTGGGACTCTGGGTACTTGGCTGCAGGTTGGACCCTAATGCCAGAGCCTCGTTCTGATGGAGGCTTCGACCATATACCTCGCGTCTTAAACAGGGAGTTGCTTCCATGCTGGATTTCAGGGAAAGGAAAGCAACCTATTAGAGGCATAGACATGCACGTGTTTGAGTCTCCATTTTCAGTTCTTTGGTGTGTATACCTAGAAGCAGAATTGCTGGGTCATATGGTAACCCTCTGTTTAACTTTCTAAGGAACTCATCCTCAGAATATTTGGAACCAGTGATGAACTGAATCAGACTAAAGCTGAGACAAAAGCCAGACCCAGGTCAACACAGGGCAGATGATGCATGCAGCCACCACACCAGTGGCCTCACAGGAGCAGGGCACACCCTTTACTGCAGCACTTCCCAACCTTTTTGACACCAGGAACTGATTTCATGGAAGACAATTTTTCCATGGATGGTGGTTGTGGGGGCGGTTTGGGATGAAATGGTTTCACCTCAGATCATCAGGCATTAGATGCTCATAAGGAATGCACAGCCTGGATCTCCTGCATGCACAGTTCACAGTAGGGTTCATGCTCCTGTGAGAATCTAACCCAGCCGCTGATTTGACAGGAGGCAGAGCTCAGGCTGCAACGCTCACCAGCAGCTGCTCACTTCCTGCTGTGCGGCCCAGTTCCTAACAGGCCACAGACCAGTACTGGTTTGCCACCGGGGGGTTGGGGACCCGTGCTTTATTGGACATAATTATTAGGTTGTGGTTTTTTTGGTGGTGTTTGTATAGTTCTAGTGAGGTAGAATTCACATGCAATAAAATTCACACCATTCGTTAAGTATATGATTCATGGCCTTCAATTACACTTAAAAAGTTGTAAAACCATCATTACAATGCAGATTTAGTATATTTCCATCATCCCCAAAAAGTCCCCTCGAGTTCTTTGTAGTCAAAGCCATCCCCAATTTCAGGCAACCACTGGTCTGATTTGTCTTTTTCTATTTTCCTTTTCTGGACATTTAATGTATCTATATACATTATGTCATAGCATGTCTTTGGGTAGCAAGTACTAATATTAGTCTACCAGCTCAGATGTGCATAAAATGTTTTTCTTTCTTCTTCCTCTCTTCCTTCCTTCCTTCCTTCCTCCCTTCCTTCCTTCTTCCTCTTTCTCTCTCCCATTCTTTCTCTCCCTCCCTCACTCCATTCCTTTCTTTCTTTTTTGTAGCAAGTACAAATATTAGTCTACCAGCTCAGATGTACATAAAAATATCTTCCTTCTTTCCTTCCCTCCCTCTTTCTTTTCTTTCTCTTTCTTTCTCTTCCCTTTCTTCCTTTCTTTCTTGTAGCAGGTACGAACATTAGTCTACCAGCTCAGATGTACATAACAATGTTACAGAATCTTTCTTTCTTTCTTCTTTACTTTTTTTCTTTTCTTTCTTCCTCCCTCCCTCCCTCTTTCTCTCTTTTCTCTCCCTCTCTCTCTCCTTCTCTCTTTCTCGTGGCACGATCTTGGGTCACTGCAACCTCTGCCTGCCAGGCTCAAGCGATTCTCCTGCATCAGCTTTCTGAATAGCTGAGATTACAGGTGCATGCCACTACTGCCTGGCTAATTTTTCTGTTTTTAGTAGAGATGGGTTTTCACTATGTTAGCCAGGCTGGTCTTGAACTCTTGACCCCCAATGATCCTTCCAAAGTGCTGGGATTCCAGGCATGAGCCACCACATCCGGCCTTTTTACTTTCTTTAAACCCAGTTCTGCAGGGGTACAGGGAAACCTATTTTGGGGAACCACTGGGGGCTGGAGAGGGGAGGTCTTCTTCCCTATGGTCATGCAAAACTCCAGAAGTGCTTTTGGTGCCCACTGGAGTAAGGGCCATTTATTTTTCAGCCCATCAACCTTGCCACTGACACTCTCATTATCAAATGGTTCTTCTAGGGAACAGGCTCTGCCGTCTCCAGTGACAAGCCTGGGCAGCAGAATCTGCGGAAGGTTCCTGAGGTCCAATAGATGCATCCCACAGCTGTGTCACTCCAAGAGCTTGCCATCTGTGTGGGTGCTGCAGGGACTGAGGCTTGAGTCCTCGATGCTCATAAGACCACCATTTCCCTACCCCTCCCAATCTGGGGGAGTCACTCCTCCCTCCATCTGCTGTGAAATCCTCCATCCCCTCCCCAGCTCTGGCTCTTCTTCCTCCAGGACATCTGGGGTATATCATGGATGTATTGAGATCAGGCTTTCTCAAAAGACAAGAAGAAAGGCTGTGCTTCTAAGAGCTGTTGCCAGGAATCCAGCAAACACTGCTGAAGATAGGAAACCCAAAGGGACTAGTTGCTAACTCCAAACAGAAGGGATTGGGGAACACAAGGAACATTAAACACAGATTAGGGCCGGGTGCAGTGATTCACACCTGTAATCCCAGCACTTTGGGAGGCTGAGGCGGGTGGATCATGAGATCAGGAGTTCAAGGCCAGCCTGGCCAAGATGGTGAAACCCCATCTCTACTAAAAATACAAAAAACTTGGCTGGGTGCGGTGGCAGGCACCTGTAATCCCAGCTACTCAGGAGGCTGAGGCAGAGCATCACTTGAAACTGAAAGATGGAAGTTGCAGTGAGCCGAGATCTTGCCACTGTACTCCAACCTAGGAGACAGAGCAAGACTCCATCTCAAAAAAATAAATAAACAAAAAATAAACACAGATTAGGATCTCACTAAACACCCTCCCACACTGCTCTACATTTATCTGACACAAAACCACATTTGCTTTTAGCAAATCTGCTAAAAGCATGCTATTCTTTCCGTTTTTTTGCTGCATTTAGATTCCATGAAAGTGTGCAGGAGGACGGAGTCACCAAACAGGATGATCCAGGCTAAGCAGCAGAACTGGCTCTAACACAAGCAACGGCAACAAGCACCATGGCATTTTTTTAGGTGTTGAAGACATATTTCCTCTTTAATCCTCTCAGCATCCTTAGGTAAGGCTGTTGAGTCCAAATGCCTTATCTAAAACTTTTGGGTGGCTGGGCACAGTGGCTCACGCCTGTAATCCCAGCACTTTGGGAGGCTGAGGTGGGTGAATCACCTAAGGTCAGGAATTCAAGACCAGCCCAGTCAACATGGCAAAACCTCATCTCTACTAAAAATACAAAAATTAGCGGGGTGTGGTGGTACGCACCTGTAATCCAGCCACTCCGGAGTCTGAGGCAGGAGAATCACTTGAATCCAGGAGGTGGAGGTTGCAGTGAGCTGAGATTACACCAGTGTACTCCAGCCTGGGTAACAGAGCAAGACTCCATTTCAAAAAATGAAATATAATAAAATGATAAAATAAACCTTTGGGGCAAGCTCTGCTTCAGAGTCCAGAATTTGGGGGATTTTCAAAAGGCTGTTCAATGCATGGGATTTACATCACATAACACCGTGACAGGGTCTGATGCAGTTCTCCTATCAACTAATCCATTTTCTTCAATGAAACAAGTTTAAAAATCACACCAATGGATCTAAACAAAGACTGTAAATAGCTTTCCATCAGATGCATCAGGTCAGAAAAGAGGTTTGGTCCTTAGAACTTTCTGGATTTGGGAATGTACTAAACTCCCCATTTTACAGATAAAGGGAATGAGGAAGGGGTAAGATGAACTAACTTGGCCAAGGTCCTATTGCTAAGAAGTTGGGGGGTGGGTGTGCGGTGCTTCAGGTCCCCTCCTCCCCCACACTGAGAGCAAGGGATCAGGAGAAAATGACTTTGACTGCTCTGTCTACCAGAAACTCACCTCCAGCCTCCCACACCAAAGCCAGGAGCAGCTTGTGCGTGACCTTCTTCCCATGGCTCAGAGCTTTGCTGATGCTCATTTCAATTCACTTTGATAGGTTTGTTTTGTTTTCATTTTTGATTTTGTTTGAGACAAAGTCTCCCTCTCACCCAAGCTGGAGTGCAGCCACCTGATCACAGCTCATGGTAGCCTCTCCCTCCTGGGCTCAACCGATCTTCCTGCCTTGGCCTCCCAAAGTGCTGGGATTACAGGTGTGAGCCACCGCGCCCCACCTACAGGGTTTTAAATAGCAGAAGGAGCCTAGTGAAGTGTGACTTACCCCAGGCACCCCTTACAGGCCTCCGAGGGACCATCCTCCACCGATCTCAAGAAACAACTGTGACATCATCTTTTCTGCCTGGATCATCTCAGTAGTTAAACAAAAATTAGAGAATGTCATTCCATTTCTCTCTCTATATATATTTCCAAGCCCTTTTCATGAGTATCAGTTCTTTCCTGCACTGATTTTTAGAAAAATTTTTTAAATCGTCTTTTTCTCCCCACTTCCACCCCCAGGCTGATTCCTCATAAAGCAGCCTCTAGCCTCATCTGCCCCTCCTACATCACACCCACTCGAGGGCTCGGAATTGGGTCTGGGGGCAGTTGCTGATTTGCCTGCCTTCCCTTCCCGGCTCTTGGGGTTAGCCTCTCGGGCAGGGTTGAAGTTCAGGCCTGGCCAGGCAGCAGGAGGTGCAGACAGCAAAGCGGAATCCTTCGGGGATACCAGGAGAGGGCGCATCCGCATTTTCCTGTTTCAGATCAGGATTTTTTTTTTTTTTTTTCCCCTCTCTCTCCCTGTCCTTTGCCTTTCCTTCCAACCAGTGAGCAGCGTGGATGCGCAACCACGTGCTCTCATTCTCACGGATTCGGGTGGTGCCAGCGCCTCCTTTCGTAACTCAAGTTCTTCCCGGCTTTCATGCCCTTTTGGCCTCACATACAAACTTGCCCCCGGGCTTCTCCCAGGCTACCTGGCCTCGCACTCATTTCTGTTTATTCCTCCTACACGAGGGTCCCGGGGCTGGCAGCACCGCCTGAACCAGGCCTTGACCTTGCGATCGGACGCAGCGCCTGTCGGTGACCGCATCCCTGCGGCGCTGCCGGGGTGCTCGGGATGCACATAGGGCGGCTCTCCCTCCTACCTTGTCATCCTACTGTCTAATCCGGGGGCATCTTCCCTCCTCCACGGCAGGGAGGCTGCTTCGCAGATGCGATCCCCGCGCACCCGTGAATCCCGGCGCCGGGCACCTGGAGCGCCGTGAGGTTAGCGGAGCCTGTTCTTCGGCAACAAGAGCTCAAGAAACATCCTACAAGCTTTTTGCTTTTTGAGTCTATCTTAAAGCAAAAACGAGTGGAAAGCTATATATATTCAGTTAACTATGTCTAGATGTAAGCCTTTTTCAGAAAAACACAAAGATGGAGGCCTCCCTCTGAGGATGCCAGGGATCCTCCTCTTTCCAGGGGCCACAGCGACCCCCCTGCGGCTCTGGCTTCCACTAAGGGATCTGCCGGGAAGACCAGCTCCACACACGGCATTTGATTGATGATTTATTTTGATTAACGCCGTCACAGCAGCACCTTAGCAGACCCTGTTCTCCCGGGTCCCAGCGTCTACCCCGCAGGAACCGCGAGGGTGGGAAGCTGGGGGCGGATGCAGGGGAAAGGGGGCGGGGCCCCGGTGGGTGGGGCCTCGGTGGGCGGGGCCCGGGAAATTCCCCGGAGCTAGAGGGGAGCGGCGCGCGGTCAGCTGAGCGGCTCTGGGCGGGGTCGCGAGGCCGCACGTCAGCCCCAGGATCCCCGAGCCCTCCTGTCCCCACCGCCCCCCGGCAGGTTCCCTGGTCATCATCCCATCCCGGTCCGGAGCCCTCTCCCGGCGGCACGATGCCAAGGAAACAGTGACCCTGAGCGAGGCCGAGCCGGGTGGCAGGTGAGCCGGGGCAGGGGGTAGCAGGGGTGGGCGAGGCGGCGGCAGCTCCTTACCGTCGGGCGCTTCTCCGGCCAGAAAACGGTTCCCGCCGCCCTGCCCCGCGGCCCGGAGCCTGTCGGGGTGAGGGTGGCGAGGGGTGGGGCGGCCCTCCCGCGGGACAGCTGCCCTGGGAGGGTCCCCAGGCCCCGGCGGGTCTTGACCTGGTGGAAAAGGGTGGGTAGTGAACAGAGGATGGGTCCGGGAAGGGTCCAGGGCCAGCCCGGCGACTGCAGGTGACCCCTCTGCAGGTCATCCAGGGGCTTGGAGGTGACGTCCTCCCGCAGGCTGGGAAGGATTCCGCAGCCGGTTCCTCGCCATAAAGAGGAGGTGGTTACAGACACACCTCTGAGACGTGGGACCACTATTCTAGCTGAATGAGGTGCCCAAGGTTGGTACCACAGAGTGATCCCTCTCCAAGGGGGTTGAAATCCACATAGACCGCTGTGTCTAGGAGAGCGTGTACACTCTATAGAGAGGGGATATTTGATGAGGCTGAGAACCCCAAAGGAATTGTTTTTGCTGTCGAAATGTGTAAGCTACAAGCAGTAAACATCACTCAAAGAAAATGAAACCAGGTTCAGGCCTGGTGTCTACCACCAGGAAAACTACTGTATGGAAATGTACACCATGGAACTGTTTGTAAGGATGAAAATGGAAAATGAAAGCATAGAAAGTAAGGCAGTGTGAGAACACCAAAAGCCTTTGGATCTGGTTAGCAAGGCATAAGAGTGTGAACAGAAGAACCCACCTTGTTCTTTTGACCCAGGGAGAGAGGAGTTAGTGAGCCAAGCAGCCTCTCAGGACAGGCCCAGTTTTGGGGAGCACTGGAGAGATCCCAGGGCAGACGGCAAGGCCAGGGATTGCCCTGGGGTGGACAAAGCAAGTTTAAATATGACCTGTAGAGAGAGGACAGTGATTGATTTAAGTTCTGGCATAATCGATCTGTTTTTCCACTGGGTCAGTTTTAGGAGTTCTTTATATATTATGTACAACACTATAAAAATAGCAGGTTCTTTTTAATAAACTAACCTTTAGGTTGCATATTACACGCCTAACTCTCCTCCCCAAAAAACCAAACTTTATTCTCAAAGGCAACTGGATACTGTATTGTGTCCTGCCAAACCCCTGCTCTAACTTAGGTAGAGATGCACATATATTCTAGCTGTGAACTACACTTCTGTTTTATAGAAATTTGGCATATTTGACATATATTCATTGGAATTTATGAAATAGAAAACCCAAAGGAAAAGGGAAAAAAAATTAAACTCTTTTTAAAAAATATTGGCCGGGCACGGTGGCTCATGCCTGTAATCCCAGCACTTCGGGAGGCCGAGGCAGGTGGATCATGAGGTCATGAGATCGAGACCATCCTGGTCAACATGGTGAAACCCGTCTCTACTAAAATAAAACTAGCCAGGCGTGGTGGTGCACACCTGCCAGCTACTCAGGAGGCTGAGGCAGGAGAATCCCCTCAACCCAGGAGATGGAGTTTGCAGCGAGCCGAGATCATGCCATTGCAATCCAGCCTGGGTGACAGAGAGAGACTCCATCTCAAATTAAAAAAAAAAAAAAAAAAAAAAAAAAAATTTCATTTAGAAAGAAAAAATTCTTTTAAAAGTTTTCATTGTTTCCACTTTGACACATGTATGAGGATTATTAGAATCTGTCTTGTGAAGTAATACCCAGATGGCTTTGTAGTGACAGAAAAAAAAGCACTTCTAAGTTTTCAAATAAGTTAGAAAATTGGATTTCGAGACTCTGGAAGTGAATGCCATGGAACTGTAGAGAAACCCCTAACAATACTAGCATGCTGAGTTAGTCCCCTGCAGAGTAGAAAGCATTTTACAGGTGCTAGACTTAAAAATACCTCATTATGTTGTATTTTCATTTCATCTCAACAAATGGAAGCCTGCTGTGTGCCATTCTCCAGTAAGAATAGCATAGAGAGAAAATAGATGGGCAGAAGATGATAGCAGTAATTTCAGAATGGGCAGAGGAGGTGGAAATGCAGAGTGCTCTTGGATGCTCGGAGGAGGGAACAGTTTGTATGACACAGGACGTCATAGTTAATCTGGACATTGATCTGTCCAGTGAAAGTTTGCCAGGACACAAGGGGAGCCAGACAGAGGGCAGAGGGCAGAAGAGAGGCAAGGACGCAGAGACAGAATTCAGGGAACTGCGAGCTCTTTAAAGTGCCTTGGCTCCAAGTAGTTTGGTGGCAGAGGTGACTCTGGTGGGTCAGTTGGGTCAGGCCCTGAAAAGCCACGATTGTCTGGCTAAGAAGCTGAAAGTCTCTCTTGTACAGGAAGAATGGACTCAGGGAAATTACCTTGTATTGCATAAGAAACCACGAGGGCAAGAAGACTGAAATTGACAGGGCTGAAAGCTAGTCATTTAGGAAGCTACTAAAATGTATTCAGCAGATGTTTACGGAGCCCTCCCTTCTACGTGGCAAGTAATGTTCTCAGTCCTGGGGATACAGCAGTGAACAAAATAGACAGAACCTCTGTCCTCTGTGGAGGTCAACAGTGGCTGTGGATCTAATTGGGACCTATGCCTTTCCCTCATTAGAAACAAGGTCACAAGGTCAGGAGTTTGAGACCAGCCTGGCCAACATGGTGAAACCTCATCTTCACCAAAAATACAAAAATTAGGCAGGCATGGTGGCGTGCGCCTATAATCCCAGCTGCTTGGGAGGCTGAGGAAGGAGAATCGCTTGATCCTGGAGGGTGGAGGTTGCACTGAGCCGAGATTGTGCCACTGCACTCTAGCCTGGGCAACAGAGCAAGACTCTGTCTCAAAAAATAAAAAAGAAAGAACTGGGATGCTCACCTCCAAGTTCTTTCTTCGTCCCTTTTGTGCATCGGTGGCTTTCTATATTATACATTATGTATAGTATGCATCGTTGCTTAATATCTATCTGTTGGGTAGATGGGTTTAAGATTATTTTCTAAGGGCCAGGTGCAGTGGCTCACACCTGTAATCCCAGCACTTTGGGAAGCCAAGGCACACAGATCACCTGAGGTCAAGAGTTCAAAACCAGCATGGCTAACATGGTAAAACACTGGCTCTACTAAAAATACAAAAATCGGCCAGGTGTGGTAGCTCACGCCTGTAGTCCCAGCTACTCAGGAAGTTAAGGAAGGAGAATCGCTTGAACCTGGGAGGTGGAGGTTGCAGTGAGCTGAGATCACGCCACTGCACTCCAGCCTGGGCAACAGAGAGAGACTCTCTCTCTGAAAAAAACAAAAAACAAAAACTTAAAAACAAAAATAAAACAATGATCTTCTAACAGTAAACTTCCTGGAAATAACAATATGCTTTTTCAGGCGTCTATCTGGACTTTGGCCACTCTTGACCTTTGTGGAATGCGTGTGTGAGCCATGTGTATTCAGCGTCAGCGGGGAGGGGTTGCCTTTGCTATGTGTTGCTTTATAATCTATCCCCATCAGCTCTTGAAGAAAAGACGTCATTTTCCCCAAGTGTGAAGGTGAAAATTTTTGCTGAATATGTTTGCCTGGGTGGTAGGTAACACAGAAGCAGAGTGGGGATTCATTCATCTGTCTTGCATTTATATGTCCACATGACAAGACAAAGTGGTATGTGTAAAAAAATTTCAGACCGTGCAATTAAATTGCAACTAAAGATATCTTAGTCTTTTCGGTATGCGTTGAAAAATAGAATACTAAGGCCTACATATTCAGTACTCTAATAACTCTGTTGTTTTACAAGGTGTGGCTTTCATACCTGGCGGTGCCACTTCCTGGCCTTGGATGAGCTGTGCGCCTCTGTAAGCCCAGCTTCCTCACCTCTATAAAACAGCCGCCTAGTTCAGCATTAGTGAAGATTAGAGTCAGTGACAGGTCTGGTGTGCTGAATTTGCACATAGTAAGCATTCAGAGCATGTTAATTCTCCCTTTCTTCTTAGCCAAAATACAAAAAACAAAATACAGTTTTTAAAGCAGCTTTTATGGAGAGAGAATTTGCTTACCATGCGATTCACTTGAAATAAGGAGATTTGAGCTTGAAGATTTGCCTGGGAAATTTTTTTCATGACACTTTGCCCATGTCTGTCTACATATATCCTGATCATCATGATGTCATACCCTCGTCTCCCTCCCCCATTTCCCAAATCCTCATTGTGCCCTTTTACATACCCATACACACACAGACACATACACACCCTCTTCTGAAGCTAGGCTATACCTTTGTTGTTTAAAAGGAAGAATCAAAATGTTCAAAACGTAACTGGAGAGAAAGTGGGCAACTTTTGGAGTGAATATAAGCAATCACTAATGGGTTTGTGGGACTCTTGGGAACCCCTTGTGGGGCAGGGACAGCTCTATTTTCAACTGGTGACTTTTCCACAGGAACTTCTGCAATGTCCCATCAACCTCTCAGCTGCCTCACTGAGAAGGGGGACAGCCCCAGTGAAAGCACAGGAAATGGACCCCCCCATCTGGCCCACCCAAACCTGGACACGTTCACCCCGGAGGAGCTGCTGCAGCAGATGAAGGAGCTCCTTACCGAGAACCACCAGCTGAAAGGTGAGCGGGGCTGGCGCCTGCATGCCCTGTTCATCCCAGGCCTTTGGGAAATGCCGTCCCTTTGCACTCAGGCTTGGTGGTGAACTCCCTTCTCTCCCTGTTTCCCTAGGCAGTTGCAGGTGGGAAAGCACAGGATTTAGCTTTTGGCGAGGCTAAATCTGTTTTGATTTTTACTTTTGGATACAGGTAAAAATAAAAAGTGTGTGTACCTCAGGGAACTAGCATAATGACATTTAGCCCATTCAGAAGGAAAAAGAGGGTGGGCATGGTGGCTTACCCCTGTAATTCCAGTACTTTGGGAGGTGGAGGCAGAAGGATCGCTTGAGTCCAGGAGTTCAAGACCAGCCTGGGGAAGGTGGTGAGACCTTGTCCCCACAAAAAAATTATATATATAAAAAAAAAAGCTGAATATGGTGGTGCACGCCTCTGGTCCTGGCTACTGGGGAGGCTGAGGTTGGAGGATTGCTTGAGCCCAGGGAGGTGGGGCTGCAGTGAGCCATGATCATGCACTGCACTTCAGCCTGGATGACAGAGAGAAACCCTATCTCAAAAAAAAAGAGAGAGAGAAAAGAAAGAAAAGAAAAAAGGAAGAAAGGCTGCTATGGTTCCAGAGTTAGTCCTAAATATTACCTTCCTAAGAGACAGCATCTTGGTATCTCAAGCCATGGCTTTTGGCAGGACCAGTGTTTGAATCTAGGAGTAGTAAGTTACCAGGGAACTAAGGAAGTAGTAACTAACTTCCTTAGTTCCCTGGTAACCACAGATATTTAGATATTTGTGCTGTAGTGACGATACCCAAATCAACTTTATTTTCTTGGGACTTTTTTTTTTTTTTTAAGATGGAGTCTCACTCTGTCACCCAGGCTAGAGTGCAATGGTGCAATCTCGGCTCACTGCCACCTCTGCCTCCCAGGTTCTTGTGATTCTCCTGCCTCAGCCTCCTGAGTAACTGGGATTACAGGTGCGCACCACCATACCCAGCTAATTTTTTGTATTTTTAGTAGAGCAGGGTTTCACCTTGTTGGCCAGACTAGTCTCGAACGCCTGACCTCGTGATCTGCCCGCCTTGGCCTCCCACAGTGCTGGGATTACAGGTTTGAGCCACCACACCCAGATTTCTTGGGACCTTTAAGGACTAGAAATGATGTTAATCCCACTGGTCTTTTCTGTAAGCAAGAGCCACTTAAGTCTTTTCGCTGCTGCCCCTTGGGCCTAGGCTAAGCATGGCATCCTTAGATTCAGAGCCATGCGGTAAAGTGGTCTAGGGGAGGTTTGGGCCATCAGATGAAGTCCACTCTTCCTGGTGTGTGACTCCATCCCTCTGAATCTCCTGCAGAAGCCATGAAGCTAAATAATCAAGCCATGAAAGGGCGATTTGAGGAGCTTTCAGCCTGGACAGAGAAACAGAAGGAAGAACGCCAGTTTTTTGAGACACAGAGCAAAGAAGCCAAAGAGCGTCTAATGGCCTTGAGTCAAGAGAATGAGAAACTGAAGGAAGAGCTTGGGAAACTGAAAGGGAAATCAGAAAGATCATCTGAGGTGAGCAGACTGATCCATTGTGATTTTTTTTTTTTTTCCTTAACATTTGTGGTAGAATCTTACTTGTCTAGACTCCTAGATCAAAACCTTTCATGATTCCGTCTGGATTGGTGTTTTGCCTGGTCTTGGAAGAAGCGCTTTTGCTGAAAAGACTGGTTGCCCTGTTAAGGGTCATGTATAATCTCTTTTAGGGGAAAGAAATTTGTAAAGCTTTGACCATACTGACTGTAGGTAGAAGAGCACTGAGGTTATAAATGAGCGTTCTGTATTCATTATAGATGGTGCAGATGGGCCTCTGCCTAGAACCATCAATTGTTTTTAGTTTCTGTCTTTGATATAAAAAATGTTTAAGAAGCCGGGCGAGGTGGCTCAAGCCTGTAATCCCAGCAGTTTGGGAGGCCGAGGCGGGTGGATCACGAGGTCAAGAGATCGAGACCATCCTGGTCAACATGGTGAAACCCCGTCTCTACTAAAAATACAAAAAATTAGCTGGGCATTGTGGCGCGTGCCTGTAATCCCAGCTACTCAGGAGGCTGAGGCAGGAGAATTGCCTGAACCCAGGAGGCGGAGGTTGCGGTGAGCCGAGATCGTGCCATTGCACTTCAGCCTGGGTAACAAGAGCAAAACTCAGTCTCAAAAAAAAAAAAAAATGTTTTAAGAAACCTATTACTGAGAATTTTTACTTGTTGACTTTGTCTGTTCACTCAGTCTAAAATGGAGATTATTCACTATACATTTTCCTTTTTAAAAACGTTTTGGAAAAATGTCATGTTGTGGTAGGGGGCTATCGCGTTACCACAGATGAAGAGAGAAAGAGACACATTTTTCTTGACCCAAAGAACCTGGAAAACGTGCTCAGAGCTGGGAGTGGATGTCAAAAACATTACTAAAGAAACAAACCAGAAACTGTTTGGCATCCTCTACTGGGTGTGTTTGCTAAGGAGTCCTCTGCCGTCCATGTTCTTCCAAGCCTGGCACCTAATGGCCCTTTGGAGGGTGAGGCACTGAGATGGTAAAGGCAGGACTTATTCTGGATACGGGTGATTTTTCTAGAGACTCTATCTTAAACTTCACTGATCTCTAATTTCTGGGATGGGTAAAGAAGGGAAACAAAGAAATAAATGCAAAGAAAAGAATGGGAAAGGAAGGATGACACAGAATCATCTAAAGCATAAAAGGTTAGAAAAATACTATATTAGGCTGGACATGGTGGCTCATGCCTGTAATCCCAGCACTTTGGGAGGCCAAGGGAGGCAGATCACTTGAGATCAGGAGTTCAAGACCAGCCTGGCCAACATGGTGAAACCTTGTTTCACCTAAAAATACAGAAAAATTAGCCAGGCATGGTGGTGCACGCCTATAGTCCCAGCTACTCAGGACGCTGAGGTTGGAGAATCTCTTGAACCTGGGAGGCAGAGGTTGCAGTGAGCCAAAATCGAGCTACTGTACTACAGCCTGGGCAATAAAGTGAGACCCTGCCTCGAAAGAAAGAAAAAAAAAATTCATTCTATTCAATTTCCTTATGTCAAGAGGATACATATGAAGATTCCTACTAAAGTATAGTCTCACTTTTACCTACTTATTTCTGAGTTCTAGCTGAGCAGTACCTGTCCTTTTACTGTTTTTTTTTTTTTTTTCTTTAAGTTTGTGTGTCTTTTGTATGATTCATTACTAAGACAGCATGCAGACTTTCCACCTTTCTTTGCAGACCGAACTCTTCGGTTTCACAATGAGTTGCTTTTCTCTAAGGCCGGGAGCTTGTTTTGTAGCGAGGGCTGCCCCATGCGTAGGAAGAGCATCATCCCAGGAGTAGAAGGGGTACATCATGTTACCAGTTAATGCCTGTACCCCCGGTTTTCTGTATTTCATGGATGGTTCGTTTATGATGCATCCAGATGACTTTCTGATGCTGTTTCGGTTCTCTGAGGAGCCTTTGGGCCTGTTTCCCATCCCTTAGGGCATCTGTCACAAGGAAAGGGAGAAGAGAAAGCCAACTTAGACAGTGTTGACAAGTTTGAGGTCACCTATTTTCATTACTTGTTTGGAGAATCCATAGATGACACTTACTCATGCTATATATTCCTGAAGGTGACTGAGATTTCTCTTTAAAGGTTGGTCTTAAGGCATTTGTTAGTTATGCTGTAAAGATGGGAGGCTGGGGGAAGTTTCACTTTTCTCATGTGTCGCCATTTTCTGATCATCTCAAATACATTTATTTCTGGTTTGGGAAGGGAACCAAAGCATGGTGCCATGTACACAGAAGCAACGGAGGTTTCTGACAGCTGCAAGGGACCAAAGAGACTGTGTGATGCCATATTTTTCTTTGTTTTTTTTTTTTCCCCTATGAGACAGAATTTCACTCTTGTTGCCCAGGCTGGAGTGCGGTGGCACAATTCGGCTCACTGCAACCTCCACCTGGGTTCCAGTGATTCTCCTATCTCTGCCTCCCAAGTAGCTGGGGCTGCAGACACCCACCACCACGCCTAGCTAATTTTTATATTTTTAGTAGAGACAGGGTTTGCCATGTTGGCCAGGCTGGTCTCGAACTCCTGGCCTCGTGATCCACCCACCTCGGCCTCCCAGAGTGCTGGGATTACAGGTGTGAGCCACCGTGCCCGGCCTCCACATCTTTCTTTCTCAGCCACAAAAACAGCCCAGGAACTGAAGAGAATCTGCTCCAGGCATTGCACCTAGAGTATAGCCTAGATCTTTTCTTCCTCCTCCCACCTAGAAACACCACATCTGAACAGAGTCATTCTCTTACGACTTTGTCATATGCAGTCATTGCAACATGGTGAACACAACCCAGCCTTGACAGTAATGGGATACTGACGTATATTATTCATGTCTGCATAGGCTGGAACTTAATTTTTTTTAAATCCTTCGTACCAGCCTCTGCATTTTAAGTGTTCTTATTTCTCACCAGATGTACTTTTAGCAACCTTGAAACACCAACATAGGCTGGGCATGGTGGCTCACGCCTGTAATCCCAGCATTTTGGGAGGCTAAGGCGGGTGGATCACTTGGGGTCAGGAGTTCGAGACCAGCCTGGCCAACATGGTGAAACCCTATCTCCACTCAAAATAGAAAAACTTAGCCAGGCGTGGTGGCGGGGGCCTGTAATCCCAGCTACTTGTGAGGCTGAGGCAGGAGAATCACTTGAACCTGGGAGGTGGATGTGGCAGTGAGCCAACACTGTGCCACTGCACTCCAGCCTGGGCGACAGATCAAGACTCCATCTCAAACAAACAAACAAATGACAACAGAAACACCAACCTTAAGGATGAAAGGGACCGGCCCCGACACTGTTTTGGACCATCCATTGTGCTTTGTTGTCACTGAACCAAATCATGTCCTTGGTGCTTTGGCTTCTACCAGACTTGCCAAGTGTGGGAAGAAGGGGCATGGATGGGCATTGGCGGGGAGGAAAAGGGCAGGGGGTTGTGTGGTGGCAGCTTTTTGTCCATCCTTTCTGGAACTTCAGACAACAGCTTATGAGTCCACTGTTGCCAAAGTGAGGTTGGTTATTTCCATAATACCAGATTATGCCAGCATGGCAAGGAAGGCTGTCTTTCTTGTCACGAAGTTACCTTTAATTTTGATTATTTGAACACAATAAAATAATGTAAAAATTTCCATTTTAAATGTTATGCCAAAATAAATTGTGGGTTGGGCATGGTGGCTCATGCCTCTAATCCCAGCACTTTGGGAGGCCAAGGCAGGTGGATCCCCTGAGGTCAGGAGTTCAAGACCAGTGTGGCCAACATGGCAGAACCCCATCTCTACCAAAAATACAAAAATCAGCTGGGCATGGTGGCAGGCGCCTGTAGTCCCAGCTATTTGGGAGGCTGAAGCATGAGAATTGCTTGAACCCAGGAGGCGGAGGTTGCAGTGATCCAAGCTCGTGATGCTGCACTCCAGCCTGGGTAACAGAGTGAGACTCTGTCGGAAAAAAAAAAAAAAAAAAAAAGGCAAGTAAAGGCTGGAATTTTCTACTTTAAAGCACAGGGCAGCCGGGCACGGTGGCTCAAGCCTGTAATCCCAGCACTTTGGGAGGCTGAGGCGGGTGGATCACAAGGTCGAGAGATCGAGACCAACCTGGTCAACATGGTGAAACCCCGTCTCTACTAAAAATACAAAAAATTAGCTGGGCATGGTGGCGCGTGCCTATAATCCCAGCTACTCAGGAGGCTGAGGCAGGAGAATTGCCTGAACCCAGGAGGCAGAGGTTGCGGTGAGCCAAGATCGTGCCATTGCACTCCAGCCTGGGTAACAAGAGTGAAACTCTGTCTCAAAAAAAAAAAAAAAATGTACAGGGCACAAAGGTGTTAAGAAACTTCCTCGTCACTGGGTATGGAGGCAGTTGAGTCTCATAGCCAGGTCCTTAGTTTGATTTGTATTTGTTTGTTGGCCATTTTTTTTTTTTTTTTTTTTTTTTTTTGAGACAGGATCTTACACTCCTGGCCTCAGGCAATCTTCCTGCCTCAGCCACCACACCTGGCTAATATTGAATTTTTTGTAAAGATGGGGGTCTTGCAATGTTGCCCAGCCTGGTCTCAAAACCCAGCCTCAAGCAATCCTCCTGTTTCAGCCTCCCAAAGCTCTGGGATTACAGGTGTGAGCCCATCCATGGTGACCGGCCTTAGTTTGATTTGTTCATTCACTTTACTCCTTGTCATCTCCAGGACCCCAGTGGTGACTCCATGCTTCCCACGGCAGAAACAGAGCAGGAAAAGGAGCAGCTCAGGACTCAGGTGGTGCGGCTGCAGGCAGAGAAGGCAGACCTGTTGGGCATCGTGTCTGAACTGCAGCTCAAGCTGAACTCCAGTGGCTCCTCCGAAGACTCCTTTGTTGAAATTAGGATGGCTGTAAGTTTTTGGCTTTATTTTTGATTTGAGCAAACTATAAAGCCTCCCCTGGAAAGATGAAACACATACTACTTTTTCTTGTCAACACAAGGAAGACAAGGATTGAGGAACTTGCAGCGTGGCAAAGCGAAATTGGCCCTCATTTTTTAAGTATAGCATAACGCATGTAAGGGTTGTCATAGCTAAAATGGAAAAATATTAATTACCTTTTATGATGAAAGATGTAGTAATTTTTTTCATCATGTCCTGGCAAATTGAACATTTTTGTGACTGACCTAAAAAGAAAAAAAAAAAACACACAAGCATGAACCTTCTGTCATTTTTCAAACCAGGTCTCAAAGCTGTATTCAGCAATTCACTTAAAAGAGCTACAAACATTTTTTAACAACAGAACCCTCTTTTTTGTTTTGAGACAAGAGTCTCACTCTGTTCCCAAGGCTAGAGTGCAATGATGCGATCTCGGCTCACTGCAACATCTGCCTCCAGGGTTCGAGAGATTCTCGTGCCTTAACCTCCCAAGTAGCTGGACTACAGGCACATGCCATTACTCCTGGCTAAGTTTTTGTATTTTAGTCAGGACAGGGTTTTTCCATGTTGGCCAGGCTGGTCTCAAACTCCTGGCCTCAAGTGATCCACCCACCTTGGCCTCCCAAAGTGCTGGGATGACAGACATGAGCCACTGTGCCAACGGAACCCTCTTTGCAAACAAAGTGGTATGAGGAACCCTGGCATATTAAAAATAAGAACAGGAGAAAAGAAAGAGCAGAATTGCTCTGGCTGTAGGTTAAGGGAGTGTCCTGGCTTTTCTTTCACTTTCAACAGCAGCTACTCAGGAACCTCTGAGAACTGAGTTTGAAGCCAGTGCCATCAAAATCAAATTTCTCTGCAACCCAAAGTGAAGTGGTCTAACTAAGGGGGCCCTAAGCTCTAGAGAAGCATCTGTTACCACTGTGCCTGGGGGCAGGGGCAGCCCTATTAAAGAGCAGGGCAGATCAGTGGACCAGGTGGGGGCCTCTCCCTCATTGCTGCTAACAAAGATTAGATAAGGAGGATAAAATCCTCTGTAGAACAGATGGTCACTTTAGCTGAGTCAGAGTACACATGTGATACAGGAAAAGCGACTGGCTGGGTGTAGTGGGCCGGGTGTAGTGGTTCACACCTGTAATCCCAGCACTTTGGGAGTCTAAGGGGGCAGGATTGCTTCAGCCCAGGAGTTCAATCCCAGCCTGGGCAACTTGGCAAAAACCTGTGTGTAGAAAAAAAGTACAAAACGTTACCTAGGCATGTTGGCATGCCCTTGCACTCCCAGCTACTCAGGAGCCTGAGGCAGGAAGATCACTTGATCCCGAGAGTTTGAGAGGCTGCAGTGAGCCATGATCGTGCCACTGCACTTCAGCCTGGGTGACAGAGCAAGATACTGTTTTTAAATTTAAAATGAAAAAAAGAAAAAGAAAAAAATTGTGTCCCTGGAAGAGAAAAATGTACATTGTAGATAAGTCAGGAGGAATGGGGAGCAACTTGCAAAAAAGCTCACCTACTGGTTACATCTGAAATGTGAGTGTGTGATTGTCTTTGCTTTCTGATTCATTTGCGGCACTAGAGTTAGGAAATGGCTCTGAATAACTTAGCCATCCATGCCTCCTCATACATTTTAGTGGCCAAAATCAAGAGAATTAAAATATCAATTGAAAAGTGTATTTTGCCAGAGTACACTTTCTGCAAGTGATCAAAGATTACTGAAACAGAAGTTTAACCAAAGAACTTTATCATTCTGTCAATAACTGATATACTGCAGGAAACCCAACAGTATATCAGAAGTTTCCAAATGAAGCTTCTTCTTTGAAGGTGCATGATTAGCATCTCATTCTCCCTGTCAAATGAGTGACAGTTATTTTTAGTGTAAACATGTTCTGCTTGCTTTTCTTCTGTGAACTGGAAAGCACTGCCCAAGATTTAGGAAGGAATACCAAAAATAACTAGACCCCCACCAAGCAGAGAAAAAAATACATGTATCTATGTTTTTTTATAATAGATGTATATATGCCGTATCTAAATATAGATCTATATCTATATTATATAATTACACATTATATTATGTTATATATTATATACACTTATATGTAAATATATAACATTATTGATAACAATATAATATATAATATTAGATACATATGCCGGGCGCGGTGGCTCAAGCCTGTAATCCCAGCACTTTGGGAGGCCGAGGCGGGTGGATCACGAGGTCGAGAGATCGAGACCATCCTGGTCAACATGGTGAAACCCCGTCTCTACTAAAAGTGCAAAAAATTAGCTGGGCATGGTGGCACGTGCCTGTAATCCCAGCTACTCAGGAGGCTGAGGCAGGAGAATTGCCTGAGCCCGGGAGGCGGAGGTTGCGGTGAGCCGAGTTCGCGCCATTGCACTCCAGCCTGGGTAACAAGGGCGAAACTCCGTCTCAAAAATAAAAAAATAAAAAAATAAAAAAGATACATATTATATAAATATAGATATATATTTAGATATCTATTTTGTATGTAGAAATACATATCTAGAACCGTCTTTGTGCACTGTTGAAGATTTTCCCTGGGAGCCTACTGGAATATAAATGCCTCTCAAATTCTGTGAGTCTTAGTCTTCTTGTTACCTAAGTGACCTGCGGTGCATACAAATTTCTGAGGGGAACCGACTTGGCCCAGGCGCTTTGTGAATCTCATTCACAGAAACTGCCTCTTTTTTAACTTTGCCTCGGGGAGTTCTAGCATTTTGCATTTTAAAGGACTGTCCAAGAAGGATATGTGGAGTTGTCACCAGCTCTGCCTGACCTTAACCTTGAGAAAGAGGGAACTGCCAAGGAATGGGAGGAGCAGATAAGCTTTCATGTTTACGGAGTCAGGTAGAAAGTGTAGAGCCAGAGGAAACTGACCTTCATGCCTTAGCCAGGATATTTATAATCTCAACAGGGTGTGCGAGGTGAGGGAAGAGTACATTTCCATTCCATTTGAGCCATCCAGTTTAAACATTGTGCATCTGAATGTTTGGAAGGTTCCTTGCATTACATGTCACAAAAATTCATCTTTTGTCTCTTTTTCTTTTGACAGAGATTTTTGTCTCACAGACATATTGTGTTAAATCCATTGCATTTCTGTTTTTTACAGGAAGGAGAAGCAGAAGGGTCAGTGAAAGAAATCAAGCATAGTCCTGGGCCCACGAGAAAAGTCCCCATTGGCACGTATGTGAAGGAAGACGCGGGCTGGCAGGCAGGCAGGCGGGGCAGGCTTGGCAATGGGAGCTTGTCACAGGACCTCAAGTGTAATGGCCTGCGGAAGTAACTTCTTCATGATTTAAACCAGGACCTTTCAAGAATATTTAGTTTGAATGCTCTTTAATGTTGCTTCTTAAACTGGCAGATTAAAAACCGTTTGGTGGCTGGGCACGGTGGCTCACGCCTGTAATCTCAGCACTTTAGGAGGCAAAGGTGGGCGGATCACGAGGTCAGGAGATAGGGACTAATCCTGGCTAACATGGTAAAACCCTGTGTCTACTAAAAATACAAAAAAAAAAAAAAAAAAAAAAAAAAATTAGCTGGGCATGATGGCAAGCGCCTGTAGTCCCAGCTATTCGGGAGGCTGAGAGAGGAGAATGGCTTGAACCTGGGAGGTGGAGGATTCAGTGAGCCGAGATCACGCCACTGCACTCCAGCCTGGGTGACAGAGCGAGACTCCGCCTCGGAAAAAAAAAAAAACTATTTGGTGCCTGTTTGGCTCACACTGACTACTCTGTTCTAATGGTGTCTCACCTCCAGCAGGTTAGAAGTGAAAACAAACTGGTTCTCAGTCAAGTCAGTGATTTGTTCCTAATCAAAGACACGTTTACTCACTGGTTCCCCAGTGCTGTTTGACTCGGACCAGGCTGTCCAGCTTCTATCAATGAAATATTTTTATTTTCCTTTCCCTGCTACTTCCCACTTACAAGCCAGGGTGACCAATATTGGAACATCTTTTGTAGCAATGACCTATAGCACTCTTAGTCACTGTGGATGTCACCTGAGAGTGCTCAGATTTCTTATCTATGGCATCTCAAGTGTACCTGTCCCATGTAGATGTGAAGACGCAGATATCTTAAACAGTGGCGCGGCCTTGGGGCGGAAGGTGTACCTAGAACTGCGCACCTGAACCTCTTGACTCTTAGAAGCATTGCTCACCAAGGAGACTGCTAGCTCACCTCTGCAAGCTGCTCACTCCTGTAATCATCTGTTTAAGACACAGTTACTCTGAAAAGATCTCTAAGGATCTCTTATAGATTTTTTTTTTTTTTTTTTTTTTGAGGTAGAGTTTTACTCTGGCACCCAGGCTGGAGTGTAGTGGCACAATCTCGGCTCACTGCAACCTGGGTACAAGCAATTCTCCTGCCTCAGCCTCCTGAGTAGTTGGGACTACAGGCGCCCGCCATCATGCCCAGCTAATTTTTTGTGTTTTTAATAGAGATGGGGTTTCACCATGTTGACCAGGCTGATCTCAAACTCCTGACCTCAGGTGATCCACCTGCCTCACCCTCCCAAAGTGGTGGGATTACAGGTGTAGGCCACCACGCCAGCCATCTCATAGATTTTTAAAACCTTTGTATAACCTGATGAATGTGCATATAGAATGACTTACAAAATGTGAGAAAAAAATTGTCTTCCATTATGTTTCTAAGCCCTTGTATAAGGAAGAAAGTATTAGGTAATATTGTTTCATCAAACAGGATAATTGGCATAAACGAAAGTAATTCCCTTTTTTGGTTAAAAATTCTTCCAGTTTCCCCCAAATTGCTTTTTCAATATTCAAAGACATTCCTGGAAGTAGAAATAAAAAAGCCCTGCTTGAAATTTCAAAGCCACTTCCTCATCATTCATATCCAGATGCAAAGACCGCTTCCTCTTTTAAGCCACGTGACTATTTTTAAAATACCAGCTCTGGACCACTTGTGAGTATCGTAATTAGTATGAGATTGATTTCTAGGTTTGGAGTTGGAGCTTCGGAGTCCTGGAAACTGGGATTTAATCCTGGCTGTTTATTAGACATGTGAACCTGAGTCAGTGGCTGAAAGAGTAGCTGCTGTTAGCATCATCACAGCCATCCCTAATGTTTTGTAACAGTGATCATGGGTTTGTTTGTCACTGATATGTCTCTTAGTCAGATTTTGAAATCAAGAAAAATACTTGACATATCAACAGTGCCTTCATTTCTCTGCTCTCATTACTTGAGGCCACAAATGTAAAAGGTTTTCTTCCCTTGAC